CAGGACCTCGAACGTAGAACGGAAACCTCAGCCTCCCGCTCTCATCAACCTCGTCTCTCTTTCTACTGCCACCTTGTTCGTTCTCTTGACCATGAACATCACCACCACCATCACGGTCCCTCAGAACCCAAACCCTCTTCCCCCCAATACTCCTCCTCTCAAACCCGCACGCCTCCCGATCAAGCGAAAGGTACCATCGGCGCTGGTACACGCTCCCGACGCTATTCTCCGCGCCCCGATACGCGTTCGTCCTCCTCACGAACTCGTCCTCCACCTCCCGAATCTCCCTCTCCACAGCTGACAACTTGTTTTCCTCCCCCTCGCCACCATAACCATCACCACCGTGACGGTCATCACCATCAAGCGGATCAGGAACAACATCCTCATCCCTGTCTTCACTCGACTCACCGTCAGAACTAGTCTCGACAACTTCATTCTTCTTCTTCACCTGCTTCCCACCACCACCCCGCCTCCTCTTTCTCACAGGCCTCCCCATCGCCCTCGCACTCTTCCTCCTCCCCTCCGCGTCCTCCCCCTTAGTCAACCTCAGATTCAACACATACCCCTCAGGAAGCCGACTCCCATGCAACCTCACCCGAATCTTCCTCTCCGCAAACGCCCTCGCCAACTTGTCCTGCTCCGTCATCCCCCCATCCCCATCATCCTCCTCCTCATCTTCACCATCATCACCCCCAGAATCAGGATCAACCTCCGGCCCTCCCCTCCCTTTCATTCTCCCACCCCTCCCCAAAACCTCGTACCACCCACAGTCCCAAATCACCAAACTCCCCGTGCCCCGACTCCCAACCTCAACGACATGATTCCAAAGACAATGCACCCTCGTCTCCGTCGCATTCCGGTTCAACCTCTTGGAGTTCGCGTCCCCGGGTAACCCGTACATCACCGCCCAGCTGACGCTGCTTGTCGCATTCACCTGCAGCCGGAGGTCGTAGTGCACGCCCGCGATCGGGTGGTCGTGCTGGTGCACCACAAAGTGCGCGCCCCGCCTCGACCCCACGTGCGCGAGGAAGAGGGAGCGCAAGTCGCCGTCGGCGGAGAGGTGCGGCGTGTTGGCAGGGGAAGGGGAGAGGGTGCGTTGTGCTAGGTGGGCGAAGAAGTGCGCTGCCGGGTCGGGTTGCGTTGCGACGCCTGATTCTAACGCCGCTGAGAGGTTTGTAGTAGTCTCGCGCTTGATCCTGGACTCAGTTTCGGGATTATGCTCGGGCTCGCGGGATGGCGGGTCCAGTATCACGACCACATCTCGACCCGGCCAGTCGTCAGCTGCAGCATCCCGTACCTCCAACCCATCATCTGGTTCACTCTCCTCTCCCTCTCCGCCATCCTCAGTCTTTGGCCCCGGCACATCAAGCGACCATTCTAAATTTCGCTTCTTGATAAATGGGTTCTCGATGAAACTCGCACTCGGCAGTCGTTTCGATGCCATAGTCCCCTACCTGCCTGATTCAAAATGACAAGCTATTGAATAGGTCGGTATTCGCCACCGCCGGAAAAGAACGAAATCACAGTCTTGTCAAGTGAATAAATGGGGGGTCAAAGACCATCAAATCCATTTGCCCAATATTGATGATCAATGATTTTGAAAGGCTTGTTAGATGGCTTACATGGTGCTGCCAAAAGCGACAACTACAACCAAAAGTTGGCATGTCGTTGCACGGACCCCACTTGCTTCCGTCAGCACCCCGGTATGCCGATCATGACGGGCCCGGCCTCCAGTCTGCTATCGCCATCTGATGATTCCAACACTCACAAAACCTCCCAGACGAATACCAAGCACATGAATGGGGCACTTCATTCAAATGACTATAGAGATATCGCTACATAGCCCTTGTTATACCCTTACAACGCCTTGCCATGCAAACAAATTCGTTCGCGAGTGCGACCTTCGCGCGAGTTCTCGTTACCTCTAGCCCGACCTTTCAAGGCTGACACCGCCCATCAGAGCTCGCACTATTCGCTTCATTCCCATGTGTTCCAACTAAGCAACGCTTTTCCCCATGTTTCATTGTACAAGACAAGATTCGAACACTCATACATAAGCCGATATCCTCTACGGCTTCTGTTCCACCAGGGTAGGCGCAATTCGTCTCTTCTTGGGCTCGCTGCCCTCTTCCTTCTCTCCCTCACTTGCCTCACGTTTGGTTCCGCTTGCTGCTGTACCGGCAGTCGATGCAGCCGGGGTCGGGTTTGTGGCAGCGTTGGTCCTCGGCGTCTCTGGCGGCGTGGTGATGGGGACGCCTGTAACCTTGGTGGAGTTGGCGACAGCAATGCCAGGCACGCTGCCCACAATCAACGATGGATTCGTCACCACATTCGATGACTGAGTCGCCACGGATGAAGTAGAGTTCGATCGAGCGGGCGACTGAGGTCGCTGGCTGACAAACCCGGCGGGTGGCGGCGACGGAGCAGTAAAAGAGCTCGCCGAGTTTCGGTGATGGTGACCCGAGCCATTTGGAAATGGAGACGGAGGGGCGAATGCTGAGCTTGGAGCAGGGACCGGAGTCGTTTGATTCGACGATGTCGCTCCTGTGCTTCCAGCAGTTGGATTCTTGGCAGTAGGCAGGTCTCCTTGATAGATCTGGCCCAGCTCACCAGGTGAGAAAGACAAGGTCGAACAGAATCCATCAGAGGATGAAACCAAGAGAGTGAGACCATCGCTTGACCTTTTGCGTATTGTTAGCCTTGTTATGTCAACTTAGGGTGCAGCAAAGAATACTTACCAAGCTAGATCAGTGAATGTCGCACAGTGAAGATTGCTGACTATGCAGATAGGTGTCTGCTGCTGAGAATCATAAAGAAGGACGGCGTCTTGAGTCGCCACAGCGTATATCATTCTGTAAGGCAGGGCAAAGGCCGGCTTGGGGCCAGGCGTAGAAGCGCTAGGTTCGGCCTTGCTCGGTGTAGAACCGGACTCTGGGACCGAGGTTGGCGGTGGAGGCGGGTCCATGACCGAAGTAGAAGTCACCGGCTTCGAGACCGGTTCAGGCAGTGCCGGGATGGGATCTTCAGAGGATGACGTATCGATGGTGATATGCTTGGTAACAGGAGGCGATGTCCGCAACGAGTAAAAGATGGGTGAGCACTTGACCACAACAGAAGGCTTCTTGTGACCAGGCAAGTGCGCAATTGGCGCCTTATTGATGCCACCTCTCGTGTAAATGTAGACGGTATTGGTGACCTCAAATGTGGGCTTCGCATTTCCTTCTGAGCTGTGTTGAGTTTGGTACTGGCCAGCTGGAGTAAGCAGAAGACTGCCATCTGGAGTGAAAGTCAAGCGTCGGAAAAAGGATGAGAGCGTCTCGTTAGCATAGAGTGTCGAGTTCTTCATACCAAGGCCACCGGATGGGTGAGGCTTTGGCGATGGCTCCATGGACATTACAGCCGGGAGCGGCATTGACGGAGCCGGAGAAGGCGATCGTCTAGACGAAAATGACGATCTCCTGCTATGGCTAATCACACTGGGCGGGTTCATCGGCAATGCGATTGAGGTGGGAGTTCCGGGGGCGGAGGGCACCGGGGATCCAATGGCCTGTTCGACAGTAAGGTGAGTCCTCATGCCAAAGTCAGGAGGTGCAGGGCTGCTGGAGGATATGCGGCGTGGCGGCAAGTCACTCTTGTTATGGCTCGCAATCTTAGAGGGCTTGTCGTCGTGGTTGCCGCTCAGTGTATGCTGTCCATCCTTTGTTTTCAAGGAATAGATGTGGACGGATCGGTCGGAGGACTGGGTTGCGATGTACTCGTTCAAAGGATCCCATGCGACACCTTGAACATAATGGCTATGCTCAGCAATCTGGCGCACAAGGGTACCTGTCCTTTGTTAGATATGAGTGTGGAATACGCCATCATCAGCGGGGAAACGTACCAGAGCTAGCATTGTAGATTCGAGCGATATTGTCCATGCTTCCAATGATGAAGTAGGAGCTATCAGGAGACCAGGCAAGGTCGTAAATCTCGGATCCGCTAGATCGACACATGTGCTTGGTTCTCCACGTCTCCTTATCCTCGAGGCCCTCGTTGCCAAAGGCAGGGCCGCTGTGTTCGGACATGACCCATATGATGACATTGCCGTCGTCGCCGGCGGAAGCGAGTATCTCACCTGCGCAAGAAGGAAGAAAAATTAGCGAAATGCAGGATACAGCGTCCGGAATTGGCTTCTTACCTTTGGGTGCCCATCGAACGACATTGACTGCCTGTGTATGCTTGCTCAAGGTTGACAAGTAGTCGACCTTTCGATCTTCTCCATCGCTGTCTACCTTCCAGAGCTGGTGTTTGTGTTAGCATCGTAGCGCAGGGTCACGCGTGGGACCAGATGGCATGCTCGCCAGTTCAGGCTTCTGACGTACTCTCACGTTATTATCTCCTCCAGCCGTAGCTAGTCGACCCTTGCCGTGAGGCTCGAAATGGGCAGAGTAGACTGGGGCATTCTGGTCATGCCAATTGATGATAAGCGGCGTGCTCTTCATCGTGACTGAGTGTGTATACGGCCGTCTCGAGACATGTGCGGGATCGTGGGCGGTCGTGGGCGGGTTGAGTTTGGTGATGATGGCGCTCGTACGATGGGGAGTTTGGCGGATGGAATACGGGCCGTGCTGAATGTTGTCGAGAAGAGCTTATCGGGGGAGTAAAAACCCGATGGTCGATTCGAGTCGGGAAGCTTCGTGCAGCGTTCGCGGTGGGATGAGGTTGGATGAGGGGCGGGTAGGCTGAGGAGGTCGAGCTTCTCCTTAGCTCGGCAACAACAGCTCGGGAGATTGGTCGATGGGCAACAGCTCCTTTGCAGCAGCGTCGATTCGCAGCTGCTTAGCGGCAAACCTCAATAGGCGGATTGGATTTGGGGGTGGGAGGGGTTGGGTTGACAGGAGCTTTAGTACCGCGTGGAACGACACATACGAGGTCCCGTGTTTGAAGCGGTATGGATAAAGAGGGAGGATAAAGAAGAAAATAGCGAAAATGGAAAATCAATTAAACTTGGCAGGGAATTGTCACGAGGGCGCAAGAATGGATGAAATGTCGTTCCCGAGCAGGGCAGGGTGGAGTTTGGAGTGGTTTGGTTCGGCGTGCAGGAGCTCAGACGGCTCCAACGCACGCGCTGTTGCAGGGACAAGAAGGAGCTGGGCTTCCCAGGGCACCCATTGATTGTTACCGTACCTTAGGTTCCATGGTGCCAGTCGCGGGCTTGTCCGCCTGTACGGATACCAGGCTGGTGTTTTCCACCGCAAAACCTCCCCAAAGTTTGACGGTCCCTTGGGTGGTGTGGCAGGTTCTCCAGCCGCTACAGCAACCAGACACGCAGAGCCTGTCGCAACTGCAGCGCCCAGCATCGGCATCATTTTAGCTTACCCATCCAAGGCGGGCTCTGCACTTCGAGAAAATCGGGGAGAGCAGCCGTGAGCAGGGAAACGGCAGGGAAGCTGCTCGCCATAAGGCGCCCAGGCCGTGTGTTTAGCCAATCAGACAGCTCCGTCAGAGAAAGCCTTTGAGGGAGCAATCCACTGTTTGGCTCATCCAGCCTCGTCTGATTGGCTGCAGCCGTTTCCCAAGATGCTTTCGACTGGGTCCTGTCCTTGGAGTCTGAACTGAACTTGAATCCTTTCTTCTTCTTCTGCTTTCCATTTCTGCTTGGTATTTTAGCGCAAAGGATTGCGTTCCGAGCAAACAGTAGTCACAAATTGGGCACAATTTAATCAGGCTGCCACCTCAGCCTTTCAACTTTCGGTACCACCGTGGAATAGCCGTATCTCATCACCAGACCCGTCACTCAGGGCGCAACCTCAGCTTATCGCATGCGTTTCTGCTCGTTCTGATTGGCTGGAGCCGTATGCACTGCAAGGTGTTGGGATGGGAGGATCGACGCACTCGTGGGCGGGTTTGAGGCAGTCGGCGCAACACCTCGAAACGAAGGGACTTTTCGCCCAGATTCCAAAGGGGATTCTCTGATTCAAGTTTATTTGGGGGCTCGTTGCCACTTTCCCCTGGTGATTGTGCCAGTTCCCTCGGGTTTCAACTTTGTTGCTGCCACCACTCACTCTCACTCTTTCAACTGCCTAACCATCTAATCTCTGAATGAGTTTTGGCTGGAGCAAGTACCCATTGCTCGACAATTGACAATTTTTTTCAGATGAGAGAGTGAATCTCATCGTACAATGGAAATGCATTACAATCCCGATCTTGCCCCTAGGTACCTGGACGATCCTCCATAGCTCCTTACTTGAATATCGGTCTCCCAACATGCCGAGTGAGATATCTGCGCACCATTACTCCCTCCGTACACATAGGGCTGAAGTGCCTCCGCCAATGAATGCACGGCTAATGCCAATTGCTCATTGGGAATTTCCACTTTGTCTCCATCTTTGAACCCATGGAACTCTTGAGCACATCGCTTGGGCCCTGTTCCAAAAGACCTCCCTTCTAGAAGCACGCGTTATATCAGTCTTAGTCACAACTATTGGTACGCTGAGGGACTGCACTCGGCATCGCTTTTTTCCAGAGATGCATTTGCTCGATGCCTCCAACTCATCGTGAACTCCTTCCTCTCTTTACCCCTAAATTCAAGAAAGACTACTGGTACTCTGTAGTCTGCATGGTGCAGCCCCGACGACCCGGGCCACAACATAGGCTACCTACAAGTACCATACCCGATTTTCAGCCCTGTTTCATTGGCGTCGGTTGCAATGGTAAGGAAAACCATCATAGTGAGTGTCGCGGCCAGAAGGGAAGTTTGTCAGATTAGCAATGGCTTGCAAATTTCGGTCGGTTTCAACTATTGAGCATGAGAAGGGGAACTTCCAATGCCCAGTCATCCATCTGAGCACAATCTTAGCACAGTCATACCTAACCGTCGGGAGAGCGTTCGTCCGTTTGAGTCAAACCATGACGGAACAACTCGTTTTCTCTCTGCCTCACAATGTAATCACTACAGTGCTACTACCTTACTCCGTACACCTCCATCAAACGCAGGCAGCTACCATTAACTAACAGAAAGAGCCAACAAAATTTGTATCAATAACAACCCGCCGCCGCCTGACATCGCCAAGAAAATCTGCAACCGCGTCGGCGGTGAGCAGTAGGTACTGCAAGCACCGCAGGCTTCAAAGTCGCCGGGCGTCATCCAATCGCAGACTTTTAATTAATGAACAGGATGGGAGCGTCCATATCGAAGCGCGGCTGTTACACTGCGCCGGCATTCGCTCGCATGTAAGGTATGCAGTGGATGTTGGATAATTTTCTTTGGGATAAGCCACACGTTGCCTTGTTTTCTCTGGCCGACAGGACTCACTCGCCCGACGATGTGTGAGGCGTGACACACACCGCAAAGAAATTGGCCCGGTCTGATGTCACACTAAAAAAAACATTTCCGTTTCGAAACGTGGAATCGACCCGGTGTCTGATGTTACGCATCTCACGTCTGTCTCGCAGTTTTACGGCCTGTTCCCACCTAGCCCACATGCCGAACGGTGTCGCAGGCGCAGCATCATGAGTCGGATCAGATTGACACCCAGTATTCATATCTGAGGAATAGAGTGTGAAATGACAAGAAGAACAACTACTTTGGCGACGGCGACGGTCGACGTGTCGTCGGCTGCCAGATCCAACACAGGCAAAAGCCCCGGTGCGGGGAGGGGGGGATGGCATGGCAGCCTTGGCAAGGCAGCAAAGTCCCCGAGTAGCCGCGTCTTCTTCCAACGTCACTCCATCACCTTGGGCAAAGGTAGAGTGAGGTACCGAACAGCCAGAAGCCTGGGCTTGGAATTAATCGAGATGGGAAGGTCCTGATTGATAGTTGCTGATAAAGAAGAGCTCACGGGATCGAAAAAAGATGAGAGATTGGCATGTGGCGTCGTATTCTGCGGCACAGTACTTTGTTTCTCATCTCTTTTTCAGCGACCCTTGATGCAGTCAGCACCTTGCGGTGTCGTATGGAATGTTTGCGGCGAGAGAATAAGGACAAGGAAGAAGTGTGATAAGAATGAGGTGCATGTATGATGTAGGTAGCAGGGCGGTAATGGAAGCCGAAGCGCAGGTAAGCGAGATGGTGTGTCAGCGGCTGCCTGGACTTTGAGACCTCCTTCTCCATGACTTTTGAGGCAGGTTCGAGGGTTAGGTGAGTACGTTCGTCGATAGAGGAAGGAAGAACGAAACCCCGAACAACAACCCATGCTTTTCAATTATGCGTCATTGTTTCTGCGTTCGCATTAGACACAGACAAAGGAGGTGGTCTCATATCTCTATCCGCCCAAAGACTCACGGGGAAACTTCCTGCAGCCGCCATGGACCAGACCAATCTCAGGACTCGGAAGTAACGACAAATCTCTAAACGTCGAGTTGCAAGTCGTAAACACGCTAGCGGGACGAGTGACAGAAGCAGAAGCAAAGGGCAGGAGCAGTCAGCATTTAGCGGACGGCAGGAATGGAAGCGGGAAGCGGGAAAAACGGTTCCCATCACACGACTGCCCCGATGATGGGACTCGAGACTATGAGGTGGAGAATCCCAATTGGCAATTGGCAACTGGCAAAAACCATTTGGGGCCCAGCGTGGCTGGCTGGCGGCGGGGACCCACATCCCATGATTTGCTAGTCTGACCGCCCTTCCCAAAAATCCCCATTATCCATGACCGAAATCCTGCGGCGCAGTCCCGCCCATGCAAATTAGAGCCTCCCAGACTCCCACCACCTGGCACCCGCGCGCCCCCCTCTCTCCAAACTCTCCTTCCTAATTCAGCATTATGACTGGACTTTGTGAGTCTTTTGAGATTACGAATACCAAGTCTCGGATTCAGCTTTGAGTCTCGACGAGAGGAACCGGCTGGCCGGCAGGCAAGGTAGCAGGCGGGGATGCAGGCGCAGCTTCTTAAAATTCGAAAATCGAGATCATTGATAGATGACGAATCAGACGAGTTTGGTATCGTTCCCGACCGGCTGGGACAAGGCACAAAACGTCGTACGAATAGGTGCGGTATGCGCCACCCATACTATGTACTCTGCGCCTAGGCAATTGGAAGAAAAAAACAGACAAAGGTCAACGAATTCGACCCTCTCTCTTTCTCAATTGACGACAGAATACGGGGTTCGTGCCAGGATAGCAACCCAGCGAGGCGGAAGCGGATGGGGGTCTTCTAGGCACGCAAAAGGTTGGCTTGCCGTTCGCCGAGGAAGAGAGCAGCTGCAACTTTTTGCGCAGGCATGCGCATCAGGCCATGTTAGTGCAGGATGACTGCATTGGGGCTAATGCACTAACAAGGAACGTCAACCGCGAGGCTCACCCTCTTCTGTTTAGATTGGTACGAGTATCCGCCTCTTCTTCCCTTCTGTTTCTTTACTTGTATTGTTGCGCCTTTCGTGCGTGAAATAGGTACTTTGGTCAATCAGTCAGTCTCTCATTCACCTGCCAGCCCCCGGCAAGGAAGAGCAAGCACAAATTCATGATGTGCTACACTAGGCCACCCACCCCAGGCCGCCGTATCAGCACCCAGGGTCCACGAGAGGAACTTCTGCCAAGTTGAAACTCCACACCTGAGCCGCCACCCCTCCCTCTGGCATCGCTTGGATTTTTTTTTCTCAATTGAATTGATCTGCCAGACTACCACTGTACCACATTGGCACCATCTGGCTTGTCCCTTGTCTCCCTCCTTCCCGCCGATGAGTCAAACGGCGAAACGGCGTCGTCGGCCAACCACCGCGCCCGTAGCCGACAGGGTGGGGGGAAAGGCCCTCGACTCTTGACAAGGTGACATGGTTCATGGATTCAAGAGCAGTTACGGTGGCAGGCCGCGGGTGCCATACATCAATTTTCGTATACTCAAAAGGGCGGGTTTGACATTTGAGAGAGGAGCTAAAGTGTCCCGTCGGCTACGTCTGCCAGCGAACAATAACTTAGTTGTCGCTCTCTCTGATGCTTTGAGATATGTCATCGTTGTCATCGTCGTCGTCGACGTTGGCTGCCTAGGGCCCGGCTAGGCGACAGCGCCATGCCCGCGTCTGACGCATGTCGGATAATCTGCAAAGACGCGGCAGAGTGATGCAGGTCGAGGTACTGCGCAGTAGGGTTGAGGCAGGTCAGGGATGGGGACGTCACGATGCGGATGGCGAGATCAGAGTTGGGTTCCCGAGTGCATCGCAAAGTGGGGGGTTCGAGAAAGGGTGTTGGCGAACTGTCAAGACCGCGAAGCACCATTTGTGTGGTGAATTGGGGATGTGAAGATGGGGGTGTTGGCAAGATCCATTGGAATCCCAGTGCACGGCGCACCAACCAGCTTGATCCCAGCCAGCCAAAAAGGCGGCATTGCAGGGGGGATGGGGGATGCGCGCGCACGCCGCACGCCGTCGCCGCCAACTCCCTGGGGTGTGTCATGGTGTGCGGTGTGTCTACCTGAACTGAGTCTTGTCTTTCCGGATTCCTAGATCGAAAAACATGCAAACTGCGAATTGCAAAATGCGGCACGCTATCTTGGTTCAGTGGCCAATGGCATCAGCCGCTTGCAACCGGGCAGGCAGCATCGGGGGGCGTGCGAGGTTGTCTGGGGGTGAAGCCGTGAGCTTCATGAGAAAATGCCTACCAGGGAATTATCCGTCAGGTTAGGTGAGAGGTACGGTAAGGTAGGTAGAATGAATTGGATGGGTAAGCAAAACGCGGAACCAGAAGCGGCTCCTCTTTCCTCTCCTCGACCTTGCCAATTGATCGAACAATACCTTGCCTACCAGGGCAGTGGTTACATGCCTTATTACTCAACAATTGTAGACTTCTCTCCCCCCCCCTTTCATCATTTTTCTTCTTAAATCCTGAGGCTTCCGCTTTTCTGGCGTCCGTTCAATCTTGGCTTCCCCCGTTCCGCCGTTCTTCCCCCTTCCCTTTGGCCCCCCATTTTCCCCCGCCGTTCTCCGTCCCCCGCGTGTCTCCAATTCCCAAGCTGCCGTACCGCACCGCACCGAAAACCCGTGCATGGTCGAAGAGGCGCGCAGAGACCAGCGACACCGTCAGCGACGTCAGCGAAACGAAGCCTTGAGACCGCATCACCCCCACCGGCTCCGTATCGGCGCCCACTAAGCCGAACCACGCAATCTTCTCGTTTCCTCAGTGTTTCCTTTGCGCAATCGCAATCCATTCTTCCGACGAAGGAAAAGCCCATCCTTCCCCCGGCTTTTCCCACCCAGACAAGTCGCTGAAACCTGTGACTAGCGCAAACAACCTGCGTTTCTTCGAGCCCCGGCCCGCCATCCGAATTGGAGACGCCGAAAGCAGAATTGCCCCGACGTCAGCACTTTTTTATTTTTTTTATTTTTTTTTAGCGGTGTCGAGTACCTTACTCGAGGTACCCGATTTGGGCTTCAAAGGAACTGGAGAGTCCTTGCCAATTTTGAACTGCAGTCTCCAGAAGGCAGCAGCTTACCAACCAACTTGGGCCTCATTGTGGATCTCCCGACCGGCTCTTCGCGCCGTTTTTTTTCTTAAAGCCGCCACACCAACGAAGGTGCATCGCATCGTAAGCTCCCGCTTGCAACCCGGTTCATTTTCCCAAACGTCAACTGCGGTCAATTTTCAACCTCGGAATTCGACCAGCGAAGAAAAGTCATTCAGACTTCTCGCCCATACTTTGGTGCCATCATGCAAGATGAATCACTCTTGTTCATAGAGGTCGGAGCTGCTTTGGGCGTAATCGCTCTTACTTCGGTTCCGGCCCTCACAGGACTCGTCCAACAACTTCGATCCCGCAAACCCAAGGACCACTTCTACGAAGACAAGGACGGAAAAGCCACGGCCGAGTCATCTGCCGCCTTTTCCAACCGCTGGCCCAAGACCTTCATCTTTTTATTCGCCTTCCTGGGTCTGGCCGTCTCCTTGGCAAACTCCATTTTGGCGACGCTCTCACTTCACACCGGTAAATATGACAATTTATTCATTGCAGAATGGCTTTCAACTGGTATTTCGGTAGGCAAACTCCCTCCTCGCGAAACCTCCTTTGGTTGAATGCTGACATGAATCAGATTCTTTTAGCCTTCCAAGCCGTGGCCATCGCTGCTTCAAATGACTCCGTCCAGGCCTACAGCCTCGGCTTGTGGCTCTGGCTTTCCGGTTTGATCTTTGCTGGCATCCAGATCTTGCAGGACACCAAGGTGTTTGATGAGCTTCTGTCCAACAACCCCGTTTCCTTCGGCCTCAAACTTGCGAACCTGGTCCTCACTCTGGGTCTCATTGTGACGAGCGTCACTCTGCCCAGGAGACCGGATGTCTACTTCGAGAACAGAATTGTCGACCGCCTTAGGACGGTCCCTGCCTACAGCCGCTTCACCTGGGGCTGGTGCAGCGGAATCATCGACCTGGCTACCAAGAAGAAGGATCTTGATGCGTCTGACCTGCCTAAGCCGGACCACTGGACCCGTTCTGAAGACTCGGCTGCATCGTGGAAGTCGTACAACTTCAAGCCCGATTCCAGCCTGTGGTGGTCCATCATTTGGGCCTACCGCGTGCCTCTATTCGTCCAATGGTCCATTGCTATTTCCAAGGCCTTCTTGAGTCTTGCCCCTTCATGGATCACGCTACAAATCCTTGAGACCCTTCAACGTAGAAAGCCTGGCGAAGATCTCCCTGCCGATATCTGGATCTTGGTCTTTTGGCTTGGTCTGGCTATTCTGGCTGATGCCTGGGTTGAGGCGACCATGTTCTGGCTGTCTTGGGCTGAGCTCTGCATTCCCCTCAGAGGCGCTCTCTCTGCCCTCATCTTTGAGAAGTCGATGCGCAGGAAGAACGTCAAGGCGGCCTCCAAGCAGGAAGCCGAAGAGAAGGAGGACGATGCTAAGCCAAAGGATGACAAGAAGAAGAAAGCTGATGAAGAAGAGGCCGAAGACGACAACGTGCTCAAGTCGAAGCAAGCCATTATTAATTTGATTGGCGTCGACGCCAAGCGCATTTCCGATTTCGCCGCCTTCCAGTTCCTCTTCCCATCCAGCGCTGCCAAGCTCCTCGTCGCCATCTGGTTCCTCGTTTACTTGCTTGGCTGGGGACCCCTCGGTGCCGGGTTGCTCGCGTGGGCCATCCTTCTTCCCATCAACTTCTCGTACGCCAAGGTGTACTCCAAGGCTCAGGATAAGCTCATGAAGATTCGTGATCAAAAGCTGGCCGTCGTCAACGAGGCCCTCGTAGGCATGCGCCAAATCAAGTTTTCCGCGCTCGAGCCTCAGTGGGAGAAGCGCATCCTGGCCATGCGAGAGAAGGAACTCGGTGCCCTATGGCAGGTTTTCAAGGGTGACACCGTCCTCTTTGGCATGTGGATCACCAGCCCCATTGCCCTGGCCGCCGTTTCCCTAGCTGTGTATGCATGGCTCAACGGTACCTTGATCCCATCTGTTGCCTTTGTCAGTATCGGTGTTTTCAAGAACCTCGAGGTTACTCTCGCCGTCCTTCCCGAGCTCATTACCGATGTCATCGATGCCAACATCTCTGTCAAGAGAATGCAGGACTACCTGAACGGGCCTGAGAAGACCAAGACTGTGACAGAGGGATCTGATGTTGCCTTTGAGAACGCCACTATCGCGTGGCCTGTCGATGACGAGACTAAGGACGAGGACAGGTTCATCCTTCGCAACGTCGATGTCACTTTCCCCGCTGGCGAGCTGTCCGTCATCTCTGGCAAGACCGGTACCGGTAAGAGTCTGATGCTGGCTGCCATCCTTGGTGAGTCAGATCTCTTATCCGGCACAATCTACGCGCCGAAGCCACCCTCGATCAAAGAGAGAAACGACGACAAGGCCAACCGTGGCAACTGGATTATCCCGAGCAGCATTTCATTCGTCGGCCAGATTCCGTGGATCGAGAATGCCACACTCAAGAGCAATATTCTTTTCGGACTTCCCTTCGACGAGGAGAGGTACAACCAAACGATCGAGGCATGCGCCCTGAAGAAGGATTTGGAAATGCTTGCGGACGGTGACAGAACCGAGTTGGGAGCCAACGGTATCAACCTGAGTGGCGGTCAGAAGTGGCGCCTCACCCTCGCCAGAGCCATCTACTCTCGTGCCGGCATTCTTGTCCTCGACGACATTTTCTCCGCTGTTGATGCTCATGTTGGCCGCCACATCTACGAAAAGTGTCTCACTGGCGATCTCTGCCAGGGCCGAACCCGAATCCTCGTCACTCACCACGTCGCTCTCTGCGAGCCCCGGACCAAGTTCATCGTTGAGCTAGGTGACGGCACTGTCCAGCACTCCGGTTTCCTGTCCGAGCTGACTGAGGATGGAACGCTGCAGATGATCAAGAGCCACGAGCAGACTTCCCAGGAGATTGCGGATGAGGAGGCCACTGCCGTCAATTCCGAAGAGGCCTCTGATGTTGAGATCCCCGAGGTTGCTGAGCTCAATGGAGATGGCGGTATCTTGAAGAAGGTACCCTCAAAGGCTGCACGTGCGTTTGTCGAGGACGAGGCTCGCGAAAAGGGCTCCATCAAGAAGCATGTCTACGCTGCGTACTTGAGCCAGAGTGGTGGCTTGCCCTGGTGGGGCTTCGGCTTCCTTCTTTTCGTCATCTACCAATTCGTTGTCATTGGTGAGTCCCCTTCGCGTTGATTCTTTACATACATGTTGCTAATAACTGGACAGGACGGTCATGGTGGCTTCGAATCTGGACTGGAACATCGGAGCAGTCCATCAAGACCTTCAGCCAGCAACCGCAACACCAATACGCCTACGCCTTCACCCTTCAGCACAGCGAGCTCCACGTGCCATCCAACGAAACCGTCAGCATCAACATGGACAAGGACACCATGTTCTACCTGGGTATTTATGTCGGTATCTCTGCCTTCTCCGCTATTCTCGGTACGGGCCGTTTCTTCTACTTCTTCGTGATGAGCTACAAGGCCAGTCGCCGCATGTTTGAGGGTATCACCAGAACCGTGCTCCGCACCCCGCTCCGATGGCTCGACACCGTTCCCACCGGCCGCGTGCTCAACCGTTTCACCGCCGATTTCAACGTCATTGACAACAGGCTCGGCATGGATCTCTCTGGCGTCTTTGGCGCCTTCCTCAGCGTCATTGGAATTTGCGTCACCGCCTTCTACGTCTCGCCGCTCATCATCCCCCTGGCCTTTGTCCTGCTTCTCATTGCCGTCTGGATCGCCATGCGCTACCTCGCGGGCGCCAGACCGGCCAAGAGACTGGAGAGCACGACAAAGTCTCCCATCTTTGACCTCTTTGGTTCCACTCTCGTCGGCATGATGACCATCCGCGGTTCCGACAAGGCCCAAACGTACATCGATTCCATGTACTCCCGCCTCGATGACTACGGCATGGCCTCCTGGCACCTGTGGCTCTTCAACCGCTGGATGGGCTGGCGCATGTCGCTCATCGGTGCCATGTTCTCCACCGCCGTCGGTTTCGTCGTCCTTGGCAGCCCCTCGATGGGCGCCGCCCTCGCCGGTTTCACGCTCTCCTTTGCGCTCGAGTTTTCTCAGGCCATCGTCTGGTCTATCCGCCACTACGCCAACATTGAGCTCGACATGAACGCCGCGGAGCGCGTCGTCGAGTACTCGGACCTCAAGACCGAGGACCAGGGCGGCGTCGAACCCCCCGCGACATGGCCTACCGAGGGCAAGCTCGAGGTCAAGGACCTCGTTGTGAGCTACGCTGAGGACCTCTCCCCCGTCCTCAAGGGCCTCACCTTCAGCGTCAAGAAGAACGAGCGCATCGGTGTCGTCGGTCGCACCGGAGCCGGCAAGTCCTCACTCACCCTCGCCCTCTTCCGCTTCCTCGAAGCCCGCTCCGGCAGCATCTCCGTCGACGGCGTCGACATTTCCAAGATCAAGCTCCACGAGCTCCGCTCCCGCCTCGCCATCATCCCCCAAGATCCCGTCCTCTTCTCCGGCTCCGTCCGCTCCAACCTCGACCCCTTTGACAACCAGACCGACGCCGACCTCAAGGACTCGCTCCAGCGCGTGCACCTCGTCGACTCGAACCCTTCTACGCCCGGCGAGCCTTCCTCCAGCGCGGCGCCCTCTGTGAACGACCAGCAAAAGAACGTCAACGTCTTCCGCAACCTAAATTCCCCCATCTCCGAGGGCGGCGGCAACTTGTCGCAGGGCCAGCGCCAGCTCCTCTGCCTCGCGCGCGCCATCGTCTCGCGCCCCAAGGTCATGGTCCTCGACGAGGCGACCTCGGCCGTCGACATGACGACCGACGCGCTGATCCAGCGGTCCATTCGCGAGGAGTTCAACGACTCGACGCTGATTGTCATTGCTCACCGCCTCAGCACAATTGCCGATTTCGATCGCATCTTGGTCCTGAGCGACGGCGCCGTCGCCGAGTACGGGAGCCCGCAGGAGCTGTGGGGTAAGGAGGGCGGTGTGTTTAGGGGTATGTGCGAGGAGAGTGGTGAGAAGGAGAAGTTGAAGAATATCATCTTTTCTTAGATTGCGTGAAGCGCGTCTGTTGCGAGGCAGGATTTGAGGGTTGGAAACGCTCTACAGATACTCCAGAATGAGTTGTAGAGATTCAGATGCTTGGTTTTCTTCGTTTTCGGTTTTGAGTTGTACTACTTGTTTGGCGTCTATAGTTGAGATTTGTGTTTTTCCTTTGGTAAGGTTCACATTACCTCACCTATCCGATGAGTGAAACAAGGAGGGAAAGGGGGGGGCAAAGAAAAAGGGATGAAAAAGAATGTCTCAAAAAGACGGTATAAAAAGCAACGGGACTGGATCTAGAAACAAGTTCCCCCCCAATATGGATGAAATACAAACCCGGATGAGAACATTTCTTCTTCCGTTTGAAAGTGCTGTATGAATGTGTTTATCGAAGACGAAAAATCAAAGAAAATAAATGAAAAATGACAACGATATGGGGACAAAAAAGTGTGTTGGGCTGTTGGCTTGGGTCTGGGGAGGAGATGATGGTATCGGAATCTGGGCGCCGGGTCCACGACCATGCAGACGGGACGGAAAGAATGCAGAGTGGAGACGGATGAGCTTATTCCAACTTCTTCGCAGCCCGTTCTGGCAACTCTGGTGGGCTTTGTACACGGTACTTGACGCCGTGACCCAGTGTTTTTGCTTCGTATCCGTAAGTACCGCGCTACAAGTCGGAAAGTACCTGGGTACATGCGTCTGTGCGGTCGCGGTGCTTTACCTAAGCCTCAGACTACCTTGGAACAACGGGGATGTTGATTCGATTTTGGATGGAGGACATGAGCTCTTGGTTTTGCTAGGACTTTTTTCTTTTGCAGATGTGAAGTTCTTTTTTCGCTGTTAATGTATGACTCGTGTGTTTGATGGCGCAATGTCCCGAGAATAAAGATAACAAACCTCTTTGCGTGTACCTGGCCGTCGAACGTTGAAAATTCTCTCGCGGGGGGGGGGGGGGGCGATCGAGTTTTGCCGTCTGCTTTTTTTTTGGCCTCTGCAATCTTGAGTTTACAAGACAGCAATCATTTCGAGAAGCATACAGATGGAGGAATCAGAGAAGCAAACGTCTCGAAAAGACTCAAGTGAGGTGGAGAGAAGGCGGTGGGCTGTCGAGCAGGAATGATTATTTAAGACGGAGGGGTGGGAGATTGGAAAGAGGACGGAACAATGAAGACAGAGGTCATACTGAGACGCACATTGGAAAGCTTCAAGATTCAATAGGAATTCTCATCTGAGAAATTTTTCATTCCGTCATTGTTGGATCTCTGAGCATTCGGTAGTGATCATGGATCTCGGAGGGACGGCATGCGTTGTACAAAATGACCCTTCCACCTCTATACCGCGTCTGGAGGAAATCGTGGGCTTTACCCAATTCCTCCCTCTCCTCCTCCTCCTCCCCCTCCTTCTCCTCCTCCCATCTCTATACGCACCAATAACACAATCAATCTTGACCTCCCTACCAATCATGATGTCGCCCTCATGACGTGCTTTACCAATAGTAACAGAGCGTGGGCCAATAGTCTTCTCAATGTGTGTATAAATCCATGGGATCTGGCCCATCAGGAAAGATCCCCGCCTTCTCTCCCTCGTTATGCAGAATAATGAACCACACAGATACTAGTCTTCTTCCTCTTCATCAACACAGTAGCCTAGACGAGCCACACCCACTAGACCCTGTGCATTCCCAAAAGCTTCAGTTTTATTTTGTCAAAAACTTGTTGTAGGTCATCGTCGATCTCTTTCCAGTCGCGATCTTCTTTATTTTCATAGACTTAGGAAATCAGGTGCAATTTGCTCACGATACCTTGTGAACTCCTCCAGGACATGAAGACTCTCCAGTAGAAAGCTTTGAGGAGGGCAAGCCCAGCACCCCTCATGGTTTTGATCCGGCAAGATTGTGGAGGGTATCCCAGTTAGAAGCCACTTGTCCCAACCTAAAACTACATATTTTACACAGAAATGGCACCTGCATACAGACTCCCTTAACACGCAATTTGAGAGTGCTTGTTTGGCTTTACATGACTCAGGGCCCCATGAAGGGGGGCATAAGGTGAGCCTGCCATGTTGGCGAAAGCAACGGCAAAGGGTGCGTAAAGAGCGAAGGAGTTAAGATGGAGAATCTCGACATGGGGTTTTGAGATTTCGGACGGAACTATTCAGGGATTGCCAACAGGAAGCCGTTTCAGATGGGGGACATATCATTATAGCCATCTGATGCCTGGAAAGCATAGCAGCTGAATTGGGCTATGTATGTAGGGCGATTGTAATATTCTGGATATGTTACCCGAGATTGTAGACTTGGGACGCGAGTCTCTTGAATGTTGGAATGACAGCGCGTCTTGAGGCAGGAAGCAAAGGTGGTATTCGTGATGGAGTCATCTGAAGTGGGCATCGATACTCAGGATCATCTGCGCCCCTTTCTCCTCTTCTCACTGATGATCTACAAAACTCAACAAGATGAGATTACTCCTTTGAAAATCTAAAAATCCATGCTCGGGAGCTGACTGTCTCATCAACCCCGTTATTATCCACTGTAAACCAGTATCATATGATTCTCAGTGTCGAGTGGCCCTTCTCCTGCATCATCATCGCGAAATCCTGCTGCTCCAGCATCCGCCCATACTCCCCCGCCAACCTCCACCGTGAGCCCAATCGCTCGAGACACCGCTTGATGACATTCATCTCGTCCTCGCACTCGAGCGTCCCTTCCTCTCTGAGCAGCCAGGCGAGGGTATTCGCGGCGCCGTAGAGCGCGTCCAGAATCAGCGGGCTCACGCTGCCAATGTCGCTGCCGCCACCGCTTTGTCCGTCATTGCGGTTGTGGCCATGACTGTTCATGCCCATGTCATCATCAACGTCACCGTCCCTTTTCGTCCGCGAGACGAGAAGCAGTAGCTCTTCCGACAACACAGCAACGTCTTTGCTAATCTTCAACAAGACGTCAACGGAACGCGCCTGCTGCGCCGTCTCCTCGGGGCTCTTGAGGCGGCCGTCCGGACAGGCGGGACAGCAGTAGAAGTCGTGGAGAAGGACGCCTGCCGAGAGCAAGACGCACCGTGACGGCAGGAGGGGTAGGGATAGCGGCTTTGGCCTCTGCGCTGCCGTAGCTCCTGTCGTGGGGGGCTGCTGTTGCAAGTACTCCAGAGTCGAGAACAGCGTCTCCGACAAGGCGTTCGCTTCGACGATGGCGTCGGCGGGCGAGGCGTGCGGGTTCTGTTTGCGGTCCGAGGTGACTTTACGGACGTGGGTTATGATTTTGCCGGCGATGAGGGCGGAGCGGCAGAGGGAGGAGAAGGGTGAGGGTGGAGACGGGGGCGGGGAGGTGATGTTGTGATGGGCCACGCGGCCGACGCGGCCTTCGTCCTGGATGGGGTACTGCATTAGTCTACTGCGGTTCCTCGTCAAGGAAAAAGTAAAAGAGGGTTCATACCCATGCTGAGTCGTCTACGGGATATGTCTCGTTATCTTGCGGCTCAGGGGAGAGGTAGCGTTTCTTGTTGCCGAGGCAGATGATGCGGTCGAGGCTGATGATGGCCCACCACGTCCGCGACCGCTCCTCCAACTCTGTCCACGTTGTCTGCTCTCAAAGTTAACAAAGCTGTTCCGGTGCTTCCTAAAAGAGAAAGCTTTGCAGAAACCTGATACGTACAGGCGAAGCCAGGATAATAGTCCCCTCGTGAGACCCAGGCAGACCAAGGAAATCAGCATACCGCACGCAGGCAGCGACGGTGATCCACGCGGCCGGGTAGAGGGCGTGGGCGTACTCAAAGTAGGCGATGAGCGTCATGGACTGCAGTACCATGAGCGACGTGGCGCCGCTGTGCTCCAGCAGAGACATGAAGCGCTTGGCGGCGCGGTAAATTGCCATGTGCTGGGAACCACCCGCGAGGACGTCCGTCGGGCTGGTGGCCGCGAGCTTCATGGCGAGGAAGAGCATGGCCAGGTCCGGACCGCCTTGGCTGAGGGCGGCGCCCATGTTCATGCGCTTCTTGGAGACGATGGGGAGCCAGGTGTGGATTGTGGTGAAGTAGGCGTTTACGGCGTGTTGGATTGCGTGGCCGTCGCCTAGATGTTGGAGGACTTCCTGTAGATATGAGTCAGGCTCAGGAGGCATTGAATGAGTAAAGCCAATAGCTTGTAATGAAGATGATTTTCGTGAAAAAGCTTCAACGAATACGATGTAGGGTAATGAGATCAATGCATTATTCAGCTTGACACGTACGTTTGGGATGTCGATGACGGGTCTCGGGAGAGATTGGTTCAACCATTCCGTGGAAGAAAGATCGAGAAAGGCATCTGGCGGGTACTGAGCTGAGGCTTGCTGTTCCCAGAGAGGTTCAAGTGGCGTGAAGACTGATGCAGCAGACGGTGTTTCCTCCATGCCTCCCCCAGCAGCGGACCCCGATGCGGAACTTGAGTTGGATGCGGGACCAGGACCAGGGCCGGGTGTACGTCCGCTGACCCCGCCCCCGCCTGTGCCCGCCGACGATGAGGACGCAGGTGTGCCGCCACTCCCGGCGGTGTTTAGACGGCCCTCGAGCTCAATGAGCTTCAGCTGCAGGGCTGCAAAGTCGTCGGCGGTCGGGGCGGCCGGTGCGGGCTCGGCGTAGTCGCACCGGCGTTCCATGCGGGTGCATAACCCGCACGCCGGGCGCGCCTTGTCGCATTTGCGCTTTTGTCGCTTGCAGCTGCCACAGGCCAGCGGTGCCTTTGCATCTGTTGCATAGCGGTCTCTGGGCGTGAGGAAGAGCGACATGTTGCTGTCATAAGAAGGCTTTCATGGCGATTTGACAGTCATTTGAAGTTGTGAGGATGGCGGGGGCGGGGGACGGTATTGGGGGACTGGTTCGGGGAGGGTTCAGAGGGTTTTAACGATTGATGTGCCCTGAAGCTAATTTTGTTCAGGGGGCGGTTTGCTGACAGACACCACTAAATTGGGTCATGCAATCGGGGGTTTTCTGGGAATAATCAATTGCGAAAAACTGCTCTCTTTCTCAAAAGTAAATGGTCTTGTATTTTTTTCGTGCTGCGATGGTTCGTGAAGCCGTCATTCAATCTTGAAAATCACCGAATTCCGGAACGCATGTAGTTGTTTCGAGCACCGGGAATTCGGAACCTCAGGGCCGATGGACGTTGGTTTGGCCGGGCTTGACGTTGGATTAGCCGAGATTACGGGGCCGATTTCCCCCGTCGCCTCACCTCCAGACCCCACACGCCGTCACCGTGGTAGCCAGCAATGTAAATAGTTCTATGAGGGGAAAATGCATTTGAACACGACGTTTCCGATGTAGTGGAGACAAGATCCATGATCACAAGCGGGGCTGATCACCATTGATGATGCCTACTAGGTCCACGCAAGTTCAGCTGTCAGATAGCGCAAGTCAGGAATTGCCTGAGCCCATCCCACATTAGGTAATCCAACTTGAAGCAAACAGCCGTGAGTCCGTGACAGCATGGATCATGTCGAACGATGGTGGGGTTGGAGATTCCCTGTCCCTGTCAATGGGAATCTCAAACCGACACCCGCTCGCCGCAGCAGCCGCAGCAGCCCCAGGAAACGCAGGTCCAACCGTCCAGGATGGACCCCTGTGCTAAGCCCCAATGGCCCCGTTTAGCTGAGCTGGACAACGAGGCGGGCAAGCGGGCCATCACCACGGCGCAAGTAAACATGGCCCCAGTGAGTCAATTAAGGTAAACCTCTGGGAACTTTGCTGTCCCATCTCCTCTTTCGCCTTTTCAACTTTCCTTTGTTAAAGCTCCCGTCGTCGCTTGTCTGTCGCAGTCGCAGTCGCAGTCGCAATCACAATCGCTGTGTCTCTCGTTCTTCCGCCTCCCCAGCACCTCTCCCCCGCGAAACATGGCCGATTCCCCGAGCCGCTCCGGCAGCCTCCGAGTCCGCCGAACCCGCGGCGGACCCTCGCGAAACTCCTCCGCTCGCTCCTCGGCCGCATGGGAGGACTACTCCTACCTTCACCCCTCAGGCAGCTACCAGCAGCAGCTACCGCAGCATGCGCAACAACAGCTTCCCCACGCCCTGCGATCGGCATCGTCGCGATTCTCCCTCAACGAACAATTCGCCGCCACGCGACAGGAATACGAGTTCGGCGACGACGACGCCTCCTCCATCCTCGAGCGCATGACGCTCGCCTCCGACGTCGGCGACGAGAGCACAATCGCCATGAGCACGGGCGGCGGCGATGCGACACAAGACATCGAAGGCGCCGAGGGCGACTACTACGACTTGCTGTGCCTGGCCAAGGACCCAACGCTGACGCCGGATCAAATCCGGCGGGCGTACCACCGGCTGCTGCTGTACCTGCACAGGGATGGCTTGCCCGAGAACCTGCACGGCGTCGCGCAGCCGTACTTCAACCAGGTGCAGAGAGGGTTCGAGACGCTGATTGACCCGTACCGACGGGCGCTGTACGACGCGAGCCGGTTGCGGGACGTGACGAGTGCGCTTGACGTGCCTCTTGACGAGGACTACCGATATGCGTATGATATGTCGCTCAAGGAGCAGCTGCGGCAGCGCGCGGCCGACGTGATGCAGACGTCGTCGGATCTGGGCATCCGGTTCGATGCGACCAAGGCGCTGTGGCGGGGTTCTGCCGTGACACCTCTCGACTTTACACTGAGTCACTCTGTGACCGTTGGCCTGCCGGTGCTGGGGCGGTGGATTGAGAGAACGGCGGCACCGAAGGCGCAGCGCGTCTCGTCTACGTTGAAGCGGGTGCCTTCGATTGCGCTCAACGAGAGCGACGAAGCTGGTGTTGACCAACCCCGGGAGTCTATGATCTATCTCCCGCCTCCGCAGGTGACGTTGACCGGATCTGTGTACGGCATCGTAGAGGAGATCTACCGGGTCCCGTTGCCACTTTTAGCCGATCGATACCAACCATTATTACCTCTGACTATTCCCCGGAAACGAATCATCCAGCTGGCAGAGCAGCGCCCGTGTCCCCTCATCAGCCTCAAATTCCGACAGGATATCATCCACAGGACAGCTGAAGACCGCATCGCAAAGACATCGATCGAAGTAGAAACAGAGGCTCTCCCAGAGGCATCTCTAACAGCTAAAATCTCACACCCAATTCACCTACCAAACGCCCCCCATCCAATAGTACTCGAGGGAAGCATAAAATCAGGCCGACCATGGACGCAATCCGCCCCCCGCATCGGCCTGGGGATCCACCGCTGGACGGGCGCCGGCACCGCGTACGCAATCGCAGACAGCGGCGACTGGAGCGTCTGGCCCGGTGAGACCATCAAGCTCTTCACCGACTTCTCGCAAGTGAGCAAGAACCAACTCCTCGCCGAATTCCCCATGAAGACATCCGCGAGCTTCGAAGTGGGGTACACCACCTCGCCCGAGCGCGTCCCGTCCACAGCCCACGAGGATTCCCCGCGCGGGGAGTGCGGTATCCGAGGGCTAGACCACGAATCGACAATCGCCAACGACGGCTCGTGGACCGTATCCGCCTCTTTGACGGCAGATACCATTGGCGGCTACCTCCGCTACGGCAAAGACCTGCCGGCACTCCTCTCGGCATCTAGCTCGAACCCCACCGGCCCGACCAGACTCGAACTCGAACTCTGCACAAACACCCTCCTCGACCGCCACCTCGCCCTTCGCAACCTCTGGCCTGTAGGCCGCTTCTCCAAACTCGGCCTCGAGCTCGGCGTCAGTCTGCACAGTCTGCACCTCTCCCTCTACTGGTCCCGCCTCAGCCAGCGCCTCAGCATCCCGCTGCTCCTATCTCCGCGCGCCGAGTACACGCCCACCGTCTTCTTCTACGCGGCTGCCGTGCCTTTACTTGCGTTCGCCGCGCGGCACTTTTACTCGTCGTACTCTGCTTCATCGGGGCGGGCAAAGCGCACTCGCGGGGGCCACCCTGGCGAGGCGGATCTGCAAGCCTACATCGCCCGCAAGCGGGCTGCGGCGGATGACATCGCCGTCGTGCTTTCGGGCGCCGTGGAGGCGCGGCAGCGCGTGGAGCGGCAGCGGGGAGGACTCGTGATTCTCAGCGCGAAATTCGGCGTCAGGGGTGAGGGTCAGGTTGGCGACGGGGAGGGCGAGGGCGATGGCGATGGCGACTCAGACTGCTGGGCCGCAGAAGAAGTCGCAGACGTCACCATCGCAGTAGCAGCGCTGGTGGAGGACGGGAGGCTGCGGATCCCGGCCGGGGTGAGAAAGGCCTCGCTGCTGGGATTCTGGGATCCGGCGCCGCTAAGGCGGAAAGCGCTCCACGTGAGGTATCTGTGGCGCGGGAGGGAGAGTACCCTCGAAGTCGCGGGGCGGGATGAGCTGGTTCTCCCGCCTGTGAAGAGGGATTTATCATGATGTTTCTGGCATTTTGTAAACTTATTTTTATGGATGTGATGTATGATGGCATGTGCGAGATGATCGATGCAGCATTAGTGGAGTCGGGGAAAATGGGGGAAACCTCAATGGGTGGGGTTTTTGCATGGGGATGGTGTTTTTTTTTTTTTTTTTTTTGAAGATTTGTAGCAAAACTTTGACTACTTTCCACCCGGAAATGAACAATTTAGTATCTTAATGTCGTTGAGGGCGCTGAAAGATGCTTTCAGCTCCTTTGTAATATAGCTTCGAGGGTGAACAAAACTGCCATACGCCGTAAGCAGGAGTAAATCGCTGCCTCAGGTCTAGTCAATAGCATAAAAAGCTCCCTCAAATGAGGGGAAGAAATCTCATCCCTTCAAGCTTTCGATCAATTGAGCAAACGAGGCGGCCATCACGGCCGTTCTGCCACATTCTCCACAAAAGACGGAACGCCTTACGGGTTACGGACATTTAAGCATCCGTTCGCGAAAGTGAACTGCTCCGTGTAGTGGTCATGAAGCTCATTTGGAGAACCCCACACTGAGCAGCCTCACACACTTTCGGACGAACGTCTCGGAATACGACCAAGCTCCGGTCCATGCGGAAGCTCCGTCATAGCCTTTACACCTAGGGCGCACGCGCATTGCACCAGAGAGGATGGCAACATTAAAGTGTGCGTCGCTCGTAGCAGGAAGCAGAATCACCCCCACCGCTAGGCTATTATTTGAAGTGGGGCCCAGAGGACATAGTTGTCAACTGAGTCAAGTTGCCAATCAACCTAAGTTCCCGCGTGTCACCATTCATCGGTCGCGCCGCCAATTAAGGTTTCTCTAGCTCTTCATCAGGTTACCGGCCCGGTGGTAGGTGGCGCCAAATATAGTCCTATGCTGTCTCGTCTATAGCAACACCAGGAAGCTTGCAATTCCAACAAAGTGGGAATATATTTCGCACTCCAAAGTCTAAATTTCCTATCCAATTTTTCGTATAGCGTCGCATCTGACTGACGGCTTTAGAACGGTCTTTTGGCCTGGTTAATGTGCTCGATTGCTGCTAGACTAAATACTCAGCAATTGACACTTCGTATCAACTACTAATTGACATTGATCTACGTGTGCTTTGTCTCAAATTTGGCTCTCATTGTCTCATGTTGTCGCCTTCAACTGCCATCGGCAACCAGGTTTTGCGCTCTTGAGATGATGAATTCCGCAGCCAGCGGCTCAAACAACGTCCCACCAAAGTCCGCACTGACTCGCTCTCGACATTGAGGATAGTCACTTAATCTGCAACACTTTCAGAGGCGCACGACTAATCAACCCCGAATCTACTGGGTAAATTGTAATGAGCCTTGCAAGCGAATGCAGCAACCATCCCCACAACACTATAGTATTGATTCTCAATCGTATATATACCACCATATTTGACAACTCATCCCACCGGCTCATCACCACACTCTTTACCCCATCTTTCTCTTTTACCAACACGACGTACTAACTACTGCATCCACTCATTTGATCCACTCTTTCGCAACCTAAAAATTCACAATGCTCCAATCATCATTCGCCGTCGCCTTCCTGGCCCTCGCCGCCATCCCCGGCACCCTCGCCGGCTGGAACGGCCACGCCACCACCCCGGCCACAAAGTGCTACAGGAACGAGATCTCGGGCTGCGCATCCGGACGCTGCCTCAACGGGTATGAAATGACAAGTCTCCAAGCCATAGCTCACACTCAGGTCAACATAGCTGTCGCTCAGTCCCGCTAACCTGATCTTACGTCTCAACAGTAACTGCGTCCGAAGCTGCGCCGCCGGCGAAGAGCAGGGCTGCCCTACGCTCTGCAAGAAGCTCACCATGCCGGAGGGCTGGTGTGCGGCAAAGTAAGTCTGCTACAGAGTCTACACAGTGACACGCGGGCTTCGTCTGCGCTCTGCTTGTGTAGAAATCGAAAAAGAAGTTCAAAGTGGCTAATCATGAGTTTTTTTTCTTGTTCTTCAGCAACTCTGGTGCTTGCTGGTGCACCCGCGACGACACCAAGAGCTTCATCGACGCCGATCGCCCCGTTGATAAGAGAGATGAGATCAAGACCTACCGCGAGACCAAGGCTTGAGGTGCAATAGTGGATTCGTGGTGACTGGGGTGGGACGTTCTCATCAATGATGGAGGGCGTCGAAATGCGCGCCTTTGGCTAGGGTTGGGGTTTGGGTTCTGAGATTTGGGGTCAAGCGTCCGGGCTCGCCATTGAGAGAAGAGACTCAACATAAAAAAACCCGAGATATGAAGAGCGATGGCGGCTAGTGGAGACTAGTATGCCACGCCTTCCAATCACAGACCTAAGTTAGATTAGTAATACATTATTCAGCTCAGGACATCCAAGACATGGCACTTTGTCAAGATTTCAGGTGACTGAAACTGAAATGCTTCCAACGTACTGCATAGCTACCTTACTGTAGGTCTAACGGTCGCGCGAATCTGATTGGCTTAATGCATCTCGGTATTTCGTACTACTGCGTAAAGCACACTACAAAAGATGGTTCAAGGTCGAAAATACCGAACAGAATGAATTGTACACAAAATCAATGCAGACGCCCAACGAACACGCACAATCAAACCTCCTGCAACGTAGTTGCTCCAATAGGCGCACCACTCTTGGGAATCAAAAAGCTACTCCCCACAACTTTCCCACCCGCGCCCCGAGGCCCCTTCAAAACCGACGCATCAACGCTCACAAAAGACGCATTCGTCCACGTCGTCCCATCATTCCACGAATTCCCCGTCGCCGTGACAGTACTCACCAAACTCACCTGCGCACTCCCCGAAGCCCCATTCAACGCCGCGATATTCCCCCGCATAACCGAAGACGAACTCCGCATCAGGAACCCCGTATCCCCATTATTCCACGCCGAGTTCCTCTCAAACGTCAAACTACCCGGGTTCCCATTATCATAAACCCCTTCTTCCAATTCCCAAACGCGATACAGTTCCGCACTACATGATCCGCCACAGGGTTCCCCGTAATCCCCAATTTGAATCCGTTTCCATCCCCCTCAAACGGGCTGAACCCCCACCGGTTATACCCGTTGCCCCAAGCATACACCTCCTCCAGCACCACGGCGGACCCGAACATGAAGAGGTCGAGCCCGTCGTCGACGTTATCCCACAGCCTCGCATTGCGCAGGACGTTGCCCTCGCCGGACCCGGACTTGCACGCGAAGCCGTCTGCGCTCTCGCCGTTCTTGCGCGGATCGCGGTTGCGGTAGGAGTCGAGGTTCGCGACGGTGTTGTTGGATGAGGCGCCCTCGAGCTGGAAGCCCGTTTCGTAGTTGTCGTGGGTGGAGATGTTTGTGTAGGTGTTGTGGGAGGCGTCGCGGGCGTAGATCCCGTAGGGCCCGTTGATGAGTCTTGGTTCAGGTCAGTTGTGTTGATTGGTGATTGGGAGAGAGAAGTGACGTGAAGGGATTTTGACTTACTCCAAATCGTAGAATGCCCAGTAATTCGCATTTTGGATGTGAAAGATCCCGCGCTCAGAATTGGGCAAGGCCTCATCCAACGCCTTTGGAGTTCTGGTGAAAGTTAGAATGCCCCCTGTCAGCCCACATTCTCTGCCCCACAAGCACAGTCTCACTTCTACTGCATATTACACAATCAGCTGGAGACAGAAGACTTACCCAGGCATATTCTCCCCATCGACAATAACCTTCTCCCCCGGATACGCCCTCACAGTAATCGGCTGCGTCCGCGTCCCGCTCTTTGCAATCTGAATATTCGCCGTCGGCGCATACGTGCCCCCGCGGAGAAAAATCGTGTCGCCCGCGACGGCGGCGCCGACGGCCGATTGGATGGAGCCGTACGGCGCATCGAGGGTGCCCGTGCCTGTGCCTGCGGGGGAGACGAAAATGTCACGGGCGGTCGTGTGGTACGCGCCACTTAGGAGGAGCGCAAGGAGCGCCAGCGGCGGCGGGTTGGATTTAGAGGGGATCATGACTTTGCGAGCTGGAGGAGGTCCAATGACACGACCTTTTGGAGAGGAAAGCAAACGAGTGAACTTTTTTTTTTTTTTTTTTTTACATTGGGTGAAAGTTTCCCGTGCATCCAATACCTTTTTATGAACTTGTGTTCTGCCAAGAAAAGAAGACATAGATGACAATACAGCTTATCCATGAAAAGCCGATTCGCTCGTATCTCTGAGTGACAATTTCTTTCATAAAGTTGCGTGACGTGCAGGTACCAATATCCGTACTTCGTCTCCAAAATGTAACCATGTCGTTCCAAGAAATCCAACAAGAAAGACAGAAATTCCCCCCAATCACGGGCCCCTGTCGCCACCGAATCGGGAAAGAAGTACCATTTCTCCCTTGTCCGTACCCCCCACCTGGACCACCTCCCCGGAAGAAAACGATCCCGCAAATAAAACAAAGTCGACGGGATCTCATCTGTCGTTTATGTTTCGAATCAGAGTCTTTTCGATTTCGATTGACCGTGTACATCAATGGGCACGGAATTATTTGCATCCGTTCGTCCTTGAACAGGGCAGCCCTGAGATTTCAACTCTCACCCCCACACCTCTTCTCTTATTAACAACAGCAAGACCTTCAGGTAGAAGCCCACGTATCCCAATTCTCCGCGCTAAAATCAGGCCAATACAACGCCTGCAAGTCATCATAGAAAGACGCCTCCAAAAACTGCAGATCCAACACCGGTTGCGCAAGGAGCTCCTCCAACGACGGCTCCGTCAGCGCCATTCCCGCCGTCGTGGGCCCCGTCCCCGACCGCACTGGAAGTCCACTTGCACCACTGGGACCGAATTGCGACGACATTAGCGGGCCGGATTCAGGCTCAGGTCCGGGTCCGTGCGACGGCGGTAGTACCTCGCCATAGGAAGATGAAGAGGAAACCTGCGTCTGCGTCTGCTGCTGCTCAGCGTCCACCCTCCCCATACGCTTCGCATAAAACCTATCAAGCTCAGCCCTCATCACGTCGACGTGGTGACAGTACTCCATTGCAGCGAAATTCCCCGCGTCGCGCAGCTGCGAGAGGAACCTGACCGATTCCTCAAAGGCCTCCTTGTCGTCATTGGGCGTTGTCCCCGCCCCTGACGTACTGTCCTGGAGAAGACTCGACGCGGCGAGGATCGTCAGCGCAGAGAAAAGGTACTGTGTGTAAAAATAGTCAAACGTCGCAAAAGACCCGTCGATCCACGATTCAGTCAGCAAGCGAATCGAGTGGCGCGCGCAGCGGATACAGGCTTCCGATAGCGTGATTGCGCTCGCCGGGACTTGCTGAGTCTCTGTGGTCGTGGTTGCGGATGGCCATGAGGCGACTTTTGTTCGTAGGATGTGGAGGAGAATTGGGCGTGTTGCTAGGATTGCGCACTTGAAGGAGCATGCGTTAGTAAAGGATTGTTTCTTCAGGTGAGCGTCTGTGCGAGATTCCAATACCTGGTTAAAAGACAAGTGCAGCGAAATAGGCTTCGGCCCAGTTCCCGCATTATCGAGCTGCAAATGGGCAGGCAAATCCTCCACCCAGGCCCGCAGATCCTTGAGCGCCTGCTGGACCCTCGTCGACAGTGTCGTCGCCTCGCCCTGGCTGCGCTGGCCGTAGATGGAGCGGACCGTCTTGGTGATGAGGGCCGCCAGCCGCAGGCTCGCCACGTGGTATGCGGTATCCTCAAAGTCGGTCGCGTGAGTCCGCACCACTGCCACCCCATCATTCTCCGCCTCAGAGGGCAGATCGACGCCGACGTCGCTGTCTTGGATGGCGGTCGGGTGGCCGAGCTTGGAGGCCCAGATGCGGTCAAAGATGTATGTCGTCCAAAAGAGGCGCTTGCGGTGCTCGCGTAGATCAGGGTCGCGTAACTGGGACTCGGGGATGTTGAGGTGCAGGCCCATAACGATGGCCATGCGCATCGCGGTGCCGGACATGACGAAGGCGCTGTAGCGGCGGTTGAGGGCTAACGAGTAGAAGGAAAGAAGCAGCATGATCTCGATCGAATCTGTGCCCGGCCGCTCGTCGAGCACACCCAGTACGCGCGAGGCCTTGGCAAAGTAGGGCATCCCGGGGAAGTCCTTTTCCGAGGGGATGGACCTTGTGGAGTAGAGCTCGCCGATGGCGAAGAGAGCCCACAGCTTGGAGCGGAGCATGAGGTCGCCCCAGGAGGGGTTGTGAATGCTCTGCTCGAGGTCGCGCATGACGGCGCTGCGGCGGACGACGTGGTACCGCCGGGCGACGTACTTGAGGGCGACCTCGACGAGGAAGCGGGAGCGCGAGGGCGTGGGCCAGGCGACGTCGGAGGACTTGACGAGGGCCATGAGCTCGGCGTCGGGAGCGTAGTTCACGCGCAGCATGTGGCGAGGTTGCGGCGCGTAGGGGTCCGAGATGACCTGGCGGAAGCGGGTGGAGAAGGCGGCGTCAGCGACCTCGCCGATGAGGATCGGGGTGCGGAAGACGTTGGCGTTGATGAACCACGGTCGAACTTCGAGGGTTGCCGTTGTTGGAGCTGCGGTTCCGGCTGCTGCTACTGCATCTTCCGCCGCCGCTGCCACTGTCGAGAGATCTTCATTGTCGCCTAGGTCTGCAGACGTTGGCGTTGACAAGACCTCCCTGTGGCCAGTGTAACTGGTGTTTTGAGATGGTGTTGCTGTCGACGTCGTCGTTGATATCACGTCATCTAGCGGCGCACATGTGGAGGTCGAAGCGCTCTGAGAGGCAACCTGGTTCTTGAGACGGCGAATCTCATCCAGAAGACCGTCAATGTAGCTGTAATTGTACAACAAATACTTGGCATGAGCTCATCATTATCCCGTAGTTCATAGTAGAGAAGAGGAATAAGAAAGGAAAGAAAAGGAAAGCAAGAAACCGTGTGTTGTGTGTAGTTGCATGGCTCTCGGTCAGAAGTCAAATTTAAAGTACCTTTGTCTGACCTTGACCTGTCTATTGCGGCGCGGATAAGTGCACTCGGCACCCTTCCCGGCATGCCGACAATTCTGACAGGGCTGGTCGCCGGAGCACTTTACTTTTCGCGAATGGCATCGGCGGCACGCGGTTGATTTGATGGGCGGGAGAGGCCCGTCATCAAAGGGGCTTCTGCGAGCCTCCGTCGTGCTGCTGCTGGATGGGTGGCTGTTGCGAGCCGCCATGGTGGGAATGGCATGTCTTGAGGTGCGGGTTTGAGTACCTGACAGTGGGTAGAAGAGGTGGTGAAATGAGAGTAAAGTAAAGGCTGAAGACAAAGAAAGACAAGAAAGAAAGTGACGAGGTCAAGTCCGATGCATCCCTTCGAAAGCGTTGTCCATGGTCAATTTCCCACCAACATACGAATTACGCGTGCCTACCTACTTACCTTCCCTTACTGTCAGGGACACTGCGAGTATGTGTCAGAGGGCTCTCTCGTCACACCGATGACGGCGAAATGTCGGGATGCCGAGGTGACCCAGGCTTGCCAGTTTTGTTGCTTTGTCAGATTTCACAACGCACCGGCAGCTGGCAGCGGCCCGAGCTTTCGTCTCCCTCCGGTCTCGTCGGCAAAGCGACTTTTTGCCGACAGATGAGTCATTCTGTAGATTAGGTAATCACCAACAACTTTTTTGTTCGTCTTGTTGCTTCTTCAAGGATGAAGGAGGGATCTTATCTTTTGGGGTGTTTGGATGATTGTAGTATGATATTATGAATAAGAAGTTTGACGGGAGGTACTTGAAATAAGTAGCCTACCACTCGGATAGTAAATCTCTAACATAAGTGTAATTTGAGAGCAATGACAAATTGTGTTGCTTGAGGCTAGCTTGAGCCTAGTAAAGGAGAGTATGAAGTGTTACAGTGTCTATCAGCGTTCCAAGAGTACCAGAATGACAAATGAAAAAAGAAAGCAAGAGGTGAAATCGAAATGACCACAATGCATTCGAAGCCCGTTTGGATAACTAGGCAAAGGATACGACAACTCTACCGGGGGCAGTTGAAGCGGCGAGGCCTTGGAACGAGTCCGAAACCGAGGCGTCCACGAAGCTGGAACCACCGCCACCACCGGCCGGCATACGCTGGACTGTTGAGCCCACCGAATAGTAGCCAGTGGCTCCGCTACCTCCACCGCGGTAACCACCGCCGCCGCCGCCAGAGCCATCGTTGAAGCTGCCGCCCGCGCCGGCAATACCGTTTCCGCCAACGGATCCGCTTCCGGCATTTCCGTTTGCCGACGTTCCCAAGCCTGTCCACGTACCACCGGCTCCGGCGAGAATCTGAGTGCCCGGAGCTCCTCCGTTGGATGTGGACGTGACGGTACCGCTCGGCAGCGTGATATTGTAGGAAGAACCCTTGTCACCGGCGTTACTTGTTCCGCCAATGTAGTTGTAGTTTAGTTCAAAAGCTCCTTGGCCGTTGTTGGATACCACGATGGACCCGCCGCCGCCTCCGCCAGCGACCGCAAGAAGGTTCTGGCCGAGGTAGAGAGCGGAAGCGCCGCCACCTCCACCACCATTATTGGAGGCAGATCCACCGTTGCCGTACTGACTCTGGCCAGCAGCACCAACGGCATTGACTCTCGTACCAGCGCCGCCAGCGAGCAGCAAAACAGTTTCGCCTGGGGTAACAGCGATGGAGCCGTTGATCGATGCACCAGCACCGCCGCCACCACCGCCGCCACCGAGGACGGTGAATCGCATGACAGTGGCGCAGGCAGGAACAACTACTTGGGCTGTGGCACCCGCCGGGGCGGCGGCCGAGGCCGTGCTCGTCAAGGAGACCACGCAAGAAGTCGAGGACGAAGTCGTCGAGCTGGACGTGGTGGAGGTGTCAGTTGTAGTCGGGGCAGCAGTGGTGGACGAAGTCAAAGTATCAGTCGATGTAGTGGCAGGACTGGTGGTAGAAGTCGACGAAGTCGGAGACGTCGTCACAGTCGGAGTGGTAGTCGAAGTACCAGGAGGCGTGATGTCGAACTGTGCGGGCGCGTTACCGCAGCCGCCAGGCACGAAGATGTTATTCGTCGCCGGTACGGTTTGCGACGCAACAACGGCGCCACTTGGATTTGTAACGGTCAAAGAGTGCTGGTAGCAGCCCTGGGCGTTTACATAGAGGAACCTGATGGGGTAATATTGACCCGCCACGGCTGTGAACGTGAATGTGGGGACGGTTGCGGGCTGTTGGGTGTATCGAGTGAGGTCGGCATTGGCGTTTGTAAAACCGGTCACCGCCTTGTCACCAATCCAGACGTACCCACCTTCATCTGCCGTACCAAAGGCAAAAGTATACGTGCCGGATACGTTGGGATGGAAGTAGCCCGTCTGCTGGATGTACCAGTATCTCGAGCCGCCGTTGACTGTTGTGCCATAAACGACGGGTGTTGGATCTGTAGTCTCGGCGCAGTTGCCGCCAAATGTGGTACCAACGAGATTCGTCACCCCGGTGGTCTGAGGGCTCTGTCCTGAAAGAACGGTACGCACGTTGTTGTATGTGTCCGCCCAGGCGTCGCCCGAAGCCACGACGTGGAAGGGAATCTGTCCTGGGTAGCTGGTGGTGTTGCTAGGCGACTGGTTGAAGTCGTAGTACGCCCAGTTCAGTCCGGAAGTACAAGTCGGGGTGGCTGAAGTGGAACTGCTCGTCGATGACGAGGTCGTGCTGGTCATGGTAGAACTTGTGGAAGTGGTGAGAATGGATGGATCTGCTGCATATACGCAGCGAGCTCCATCGTTGACTCCCGAAACAGGACCATCGGAGACCAAGGTTGGCTGACCAGAGTTGACGTTGAAATTATAAATATTTCCGCTGTTGTTTTCGGAGCCGTAGAACGTGTTGCCGCTCGAGGCATAAAGCGCTCCAAACACTTCGTTGCCATTGATCCGCGTGTATGTCCGTACAATTGACCAGTCATGAGTAGTCCGACTCCATCTCGCCAATGAGAATCGACCGTTGGCGTCGACTCCTGTGATACTGTAGAGATAATCGCCACCTCCGGGTACATAAACCCAGTCTGATACGCCATTGGCGATAGTACTAGTACCAGTGGCGATGATCTGCGTGAAGGTCGCCGAGTTGGGGTTCATGTCGATTTGTGCCCAGGCTCCACCGCTAACGCTGATGTAGTACCGTCCGAGTGTGTCGATTTCTCCAACGTTGTAGTATCCAGTTGGAAGATCTGGGCCAATGAGAACCGCTTGGCCGTTGCTTGCGATGCGGATTATACGGTTCACATTGTTCACATTAGTAATGCCATAAATGTAGTTATCCAAGGGGTTATAGCCAATCGCGTTGATCTGACCACCAGGTCCAACATTGGTAGAAACCGTGGTCTGAACCCCAGTAGTGAGGTTTAGTCGGTAGAGTGTGGTGCTCTGGATCAGGTAGCCACCAGCGTCGCAGCTGTAGGTCGGACCAGGGGCAATTGTGGTTGAGGTCGAGCTACTACTGCTAGTGCTGCTAGGGGTCACAAAAGTAATAACGCTTGTTGTGCCAGCAGGATCCGTGGGGATAATAGTAGTGAGGCCAGTCTGTGTGCCTGTAGATACAACCGTCGTAAGTCCTCCAGTGATCGGAGGGACGAAGGTGATGACACTAGTGGTTCCGGCGGGATCCGTAGGGATAATAGTAGTTACACCCGTCTGGGTGCCGGTCGACGTAAGAGTTGTCAAGCCACCCGTGATAGGGGGAACAAAAGTGATAACACTGGTAGTTCCGGCGGGATCCGTGGGGATGATTGTAGTGACTCCTGTTTGAGTGCCGGTCGATGTGAGAGTGGTCAAACCACCCGTGATGGGGGGAACGAAAGTGATGACACTGGTAGTTCCAGCCGGGTCCGTTGGAATGATTGTAGTTGCACCCGTCTGGGTGCCGGTTGACGTGAGAGTTGTCAAGCCACCCGTGATCGGAGGAACGAAGGTAATAACACTGGTAGTTCCAGCAGGATCTGTTGGGATTATAGTAGTGACTCCTGTTTGAGTGCCGGTCGACGTGAGAGTGGTCAAACCACCGGTGATAGGAACGAAGGTGATGACGCTGGTGGTTCCAGCAGGATCCGTTGGAACGATTGTAGTTACTCCTGTTCGGGTACCAGTCGACGTAAGAGTTACTAAGCCACCCGTGATCGGAGGAACGAAAGTGATTACACTGGTAGTTCCGGCTGGATCCGATGGAATGATGGTGGTAGCTCCCGTCTGTGTACCTGTGGAAGTGATGGTTGTGAGCCCGCCCGTGATCGGGACGAAGGTGATGACGCTGGTAGTGCCAGCGGGATCGGATGGAATGATGGTGGTCGCTCCAGTGCGTGTAGCCGAGGACGTTACTGTTGTGATGAAGCCTGTAGGAGGCTGAACGAAAGTGATGACACTGGTGGTACCAGCAGGGTCTGTAGGAACCACAGTTGTTACTCCAGTCTGGGTGGCTGTCGAAGTGAGCGTGGTGATGAAGCCTAGACGCTGGACAAACGTGATGACTGTTGTAGGGCCGCCGCTGGGACCCGGTGGGACAGTGGTCAAACCGGTCGTAGAACCGGTCGAAACGATGGTCACCGGTGGGATCGGAGCCGTGGTTGTGACAAAAGTCACGACAGTCGGAGGGCCGCCACTGGGGCCGGGAGTAAGGGTAGTCAGTCCAGTAATGCTTCCAGTCGAAGTGACTGTGACTGGTATGGGCGTAGTGACGAAAGTGACAACCGTAGGAGGACCGCCGCTGGGGCCAGGCGTAAGGGTAGTCAGGCCAGTGACGCTTCCAGTCGAAGTGACTGTGACTGGCACGGGCGTAGTAACGAAAGTGACAACCGTAGGAGGACCACCGCTGGGGCCAGGCGTAAGGGTAGTCAGGCCAGTGACGCTTCCAGTCGAAGTGACTGTGACTGGTATGGGCGTAGTGACGAAAGTGACAACCGTAGGAGGACCACCGCTGGGGCCAGGCGTAAGAGTCGTTAGGCCAGTGACGCTTCCAGTCGAAGTGACTGTGACTGGCACAGGTGTAGTAACGAAAGTGACAACCGTGGGAGGGCCGCCACTGGGACCCGGAGTAAGGGTTGTTAGGCCAGTAGTGCTTGCAGTCGAAGTGACTGTAACTGGTACGGGCGTAGTGACAAAGGTGACTACCGTAGGAGGGCCGCCACTGGGACCCGGAGTAAGGGTTGTCAGACCAGTAATGCTTCCAGTCGAAGTGACTGTGACCGGTGACGAGGGAGTAACAAATGTCACTACTGTGTAAACCGAGTCACCGCCGTAGGGAAGAGTCGTCAAGCCGGTCGTGCTAGCTGTTGAAATGATCGTAGTCACACGTGGTGTCGGCACAAAAGTAATCACAGTTGGTGGTCCTCCAGGTCCTCCCGGAATCGTAGTCAATCCGGTGGTGCTGCCCGTGGATGTCACGGTAACGGGCGGCGGGCCAGTCGCAATGGTGACAATTGTAGTCGGGTCTCCGGGTCTGTCAGGAGTCTGAGTGAATAGGCCAGTTGAGGATCCCGTCGATGTGACGGTCACATATGGAGGGCCGGTCACAAGGGTGATGACTGTAGTCGGGTCTCCGACTCTTCCAGGGGTCAAGGTTGTAAGACCGGTAGTTGACCCCGTTTGAGTGAGAGTAACCCGAGGAATGGGGGTTGGGACGAAAGTGATGACAGTAGTGGGATCCCCAGGTCTACCCGGAGTCTGGGTGGTGACGCCAGTGACTGAGCCACTGGTAGACGTAAGTGTAAGAATGCCTCCCGTGGGGCTCGGGATAATAGTCACGATGGTGGTTGGGTCACCAGGTCGGCCGGGAGTTTGAGTAACGACACCCGTGCCCGTTCCGGTAGATGTTATGGTGACGAAACCTCCAGTAGGAGACGGAACAATAGTAATGACAGTGGTAGGATCTCCGGGGCGGCCAGGGGTTTGAGTGATCAAGCCAGTTCCTGTTCCCGTGGAGGTGATTGTAGTGAAGCCCCCAGTTGGGGAGGGCACAATAGTAATGACTGTAGTCGGGTCGCCAGGTCGTCCAGGAGTCTGAGTGATCAACCCAGTTCCTGTTCCGGTTGAGGTGATGGTCGTCACCCCGCCAGAAGGACTTGGCACCAGAGTGATGACTGTAGTTGGATCTCCAGGCCTACCGGGAGTCTGAGTAATCAGGCCAGTGCTACTTCCAGTAGATGTGATGGTGACGAGGCCACCTGTAGGAGTTGGGACAATAGTGATGACGGTAGTTGGGTCGCCTGGGCGGCTGGGAGTCTGGGTGATGAGGCCAGTTCCTGTTCCGGTTGAGGTGATTGTGACGAAGCCACCTGTAGGAGATGGAACGAACGTAACCACAGTCGTTGGATCTCCTGGGCGGCCGGGCGTGAGAGTCGTGACGCTAGTCCGCGTGCCTGTTGAGGTGACAGTTGTCAACCCTCCCGGAGGGGGCACAATGGTGACCACGGTAGTCGGATCGCCGGGTCGGCCTGGTGTCAAGGTCAATAAACCGGTCTGACCGGGCTGAGTGCCAGTGGAAGTAGTAGTGACGAAGCCACCAGGAGGAGGCACGATGGTAACGACTGTGGTAGGGTCACCAGGCTTTCCAGGAGTGAGGGTAAGGAGGCCAGTCTGACCGGGCTGAGTGCCAGTAGAAGTGGTAGTGACGAAGCCACCGGGAGGAGGCACGATGGTAACGACTGTGGTAGGGTCACCAGGCTTTCCAGGGGTAAGGGTGAGTAGGCCAGTCTGACCGGGCTGAGTGCCAGTCGACGTAGAAGTGACTATACCTCCGGTGGGTGGTGGGACGATGGTAACGACTGTAGTAGGATCACCAGGCTTTCCAGGGGTCAGAGTGAGGAGGCCCGTTTGGCCTGGCTGAGTGCCAGTCGACGTAGAAGTAACGAAGCCACCGGGAGGAGGCACGATAGTAACGACTGTAGTAGGATCACCAGGCTTTCCAGGGGTGAGGGTGAGTAGGCCAGTCTGACCGGGCTGAGTACCAGTCGACGTAGAAGTGACTATACCTCCGGTGGGTGGTGGGACGATGGTGACGACTGTGGTAGGATCGCCAGGTTTTCCAGGCGGCAGTGTCAACAGACCAGTCTGACCGGGCCGGGTACCGGTTGAGGTGGAAGTAACCACTCCCCCAGTGGGAGGAGGCGGCACAATAGTAACAACGGTAGTAGGATCTCCAGGCTTTCCGGGAGGCAATGTCAGGAGGCCAGTCTGGCCAGGCTGCGTGCCGGTGGACGTTGACGTCACAACCCCGCCAGTCGGAGGGGGAACGATGGTAACAACCGTAGTTGGGTCCCCGGGCTTGCCGGGCGGCAGAGTCAGTAGACCTGTCTGGCCAGGGCTGGTACCAGTCGAAGTGGAAGTGACTACGCCTCCTGTTGGGGGAGGGACAATCGTGACCACAGTGGTAGGGTCGCCAGGCTTTCCAGGAGGCAGAGTAATCAGCCCCGTCTGACCTGGGGTTGTACCGGTCGAGGTGGAAGTCACGACGCCACCGCTAGCAGGAGGAACAATCGTGACAATCGTCGTTGGGTCTCCGGGCTTGCCAGGGGGTATGGTGATGAGTCCTGTCTGGCCAGGCCGAGAGCCGGTCGACGTGGCAGTCACCAGCCCCCCCGTCTGCGGTGGGACGTAGACGATTTGGGTGCCAGTGCCATCGGTCCCGGAGGGAGGCAACGTCAAAGTAGTCAACACCGTACCGGGAGCTGTGATGGTCGTGTAGGGTCCATTGAAAGGAGGACTTCCCGCATTCGGCGTAGGCGCAGGGGTCAGGACGAGGACAGTTCCGGTAGGGTCGCCGCCGCTGGGGGGGATGGTCAAGGTCGTCAAGGTTGAGCCCGGATAGGGGGCCGTGGCTGTTGTGAAGCTTCCACCGTTGGGAGAGTTTGAGCCTGGCAACCAGGGCTTGCTGGACTCGAGAGGAGAGCAGATGTACTTCGTGCCAGTGGCTTGGCCGCTTTGAGGAGGGATGACAATAGTGGTCGGCTGGGATCCTGCAGGAACGTTTGCAGTAACCGTGACACAAGGGCCATTATAGGGAGAGTTTGTAACCCTGGAGAAGAAAGAAAGTTAGCACCATTCAGAAGAAGATTCAAGATGCTGCGCTAAAAGAGTCATTAATGGTGGGCTATTATTAGAATGCTTACACAGCAGAGCTGTACGTCATAGTCATCGTGGTCAGGAAGTCGGTATTAACCACAGTTGGAGCATTGGTGACCTTGACGGTTGTGCCAGCTACAGTGAAAACGGTATTGGAAGAGAGAGAAGTGCTGAGATGAAGCGGGATGCAATGAACGATTTCGAAAGGCTGGACAGCGGTTGGAACAGCTGCTGGCCCAGTGGTGGGACAGTCCTCTCTTGCTAAGCCAGGCCATGGTAGAATGGCCGCAGAGCTCATCAACGAGGTGAGAAGCGAAGTGCGCCTCATCTTGGCGATGATGCTTTCAAGTAAAGACTTTGGATGCTTGAACGATTGTGGACATGGAGATGTCAGATGCAACTTGATAATAGAAAGCTGGCGAGCTGGTGTTGTGTGTTGTCGTGAGGTGAGTCTTTGGGAATTTGGACGATGGCTTATATTTCAAAAGTTTGGAGCTGCCAGTTTTTTGACGTTACACGCTTGGGTATGATCACGATGATCCAAGTCAAAGGCCACTCTTCGACTCTGTACGTGGCGCGTTCCGGAGTCGGTTGGCTCCCGTCACATCACTAACTTGATTTCCACCGCCAATCCTGAACCAGCGTGTTTCTCCAACGCGCAATGCGAAAATTTCAAAGTCTCCGCAAATACGCCGCGACAAAAACTGTTCTGACATTCACGGATTTTCTTTTGGTCTGCTTACTACCGTTGCCTCGCCTCCCGCCAAGAACTTTTCGTATCGTTTTCATCTAGAGCTTACGATACATGATCATTTACCGTCAATGAAACCAGTGGGACTTATTCTCTTGCGTTCTTGAGAGGTTCATCTCAGCGGTATGCGACCAGATCACGGCAAGTCAATACCGAGCTGGTTGAAGGTAAAGGACGATGGCCGAAAAGGACAAGTTGTGAGGCATCTGCCAGATGCAGTTCACCTAGCGAGCAGGCATCAACAACGTAGTATAGTCGAGGAGCCTGTGTATATTCCTCCTCAAATTGTAGAGCTTTCTGCGAGCTAAGCACGAAGCAAGTACATCCCTATCCTGCTCTCTATACTTGAATGTCGTGAAGCATCACTAATGCAAGACTTCTGTTTGCGTGCCTGTCCAGCTGGCAGTGAGGTTGTCGCCATTACCAACCTCCAGAAGCAGTAAAGCTAAACTGACTTGGCAGCTGCTTGAGGCCACCCGGTATGCACGTCCTATCAATAGTCTGGTCCCAAGGCAGTAAGCCAACATGAGTTTTCCTCTTGGGGCTATAACCTGTTTTTCCAGCCAATAAGAGGGCTTTATACGCCTGCTTCGGCTAGGTACTTTCCCACAGGCGCGGGTGGGCCGCGCTGTTTCTAGAACTAGCTCCGAGTAGTTACCTACATACGGTCGTGATTACCTAAGGTCGCAATTGCCCAAGGTCGTAATTATTACTTACGTACGGTCTTAATTACCTATTTATTGTGATTCCGGAATACATACTTAATTACGATCATAAGTAATTGCGACCGTGGGCAATTGCGACCGTAGTGTACGTAAGTAGCTATGTATGGCAGTTGCAGCGCGGTCGCTAGATATCAAGTTTCACTGGAAGGCTCTTCTCATTGGCTGGAAAAATGGGTCACTGCCCCAATAGCAGAACCCGCCAACAATATCTCAGGTAACGACACATCTGATTGCTCCGCCGCAGAGTGTTCTGCAAACGTCGTTGCTCTCTCAATACAGCTATTCTGTTTAGGTCCTTAAAAGACCGAAACTTTAACGGTAGGGGAGGGGCAGGGCTGCTGCTTCCCGAAGACAGGGCTATCGATTCCCAAAGGCAGCGAGCACACTAGTACGGAAGCCGAAGACCTTCCTAAACGGACCCGTTTCTTCATCTGCACGCTACCTGCATGTGGGTTAGCATGACGCTAGTAAGATCTGGGACAGCATAAGCTGCGCCGATCAGGAACTAGGGGCCGTTCTCTTCTGATTTCATTCCTAACTTGATATTGGCGAGTTGCCTCTGTAAGATTGTTGATGAATTTAAGATAGTGATGGTTGATGAGACTGGAAGTTGTTGCATTTGGTCTTTAAGACCTCCGTTCCCTTGAGCAACATTCGGCATTGAAATTCTCTCCTACCATTCTTTTGGCACTTATCTCATTGCACCTCCAACTTCACCTCCCCCACAATGAGGTCCTTCCATTTTTTGCCGCTTCTTCCTTTTGCACTTGCTGCGCCCCCTCTCGTCGATCCATATCTTGAGATGTGCGGCATATCCATCACATACTCCGCCATAACGAGCACTCTTCTACTACCACCGCAAACAATCTCTCTCTGCGAGAATTCGAGCAATTGCGCCATCCCTACCATTGGTGCTGGAGGAGGCTCCCCCGCAGCTCCGCAGGCCACCGCCACCCAAGTCCCTGGGGGCAATCCTCCTGCCGGGCAGCCAGGTTCTAGTCAAGCTCCCGGCGGTAACCCTCCCGCCGGACAGCCTGCTGCCAGTCAAGCACCCGGAGGCAGTCCACCCGCCGGACAACCCGCTGCCAGTCAAGCTCCCGGCGGTAACCCTCCCGCTGGGCAGCCCGCTGCCAGTCAAGCACCCGGGGGCAATCCACCCGCCGGACAACCCGCTGCCAGTCAAGCTCCCGGCGGTAACCCTCCCGCTGGGCAGCCCGCTGCCAGTCAAGCACCCGGGGGCAATCCACCCGCCGGACAACCCGCTGCCAGTCAAGCTCCCGGCGGTAACCCTCCCGCTGGGCAGCCCGCTGCCAGTCAAGCACCCGGGGGCAATCCACCCGCTGGGCAGCCCGCTGCCAGTCAAGCACCCGGAGGCAATCCCCCTGCCGGGCAACCAGCTGCCTCCTCTGGTGGTTCGAATGGCAATTCGCCAGGCGCAACAGTCTCTTCCCCGGCGGGCTCTGGTAGGCCCTCCTCGGTATCGGCATCTTCCGCATCTCGGTCATTTGGATTCAAATGGAATGAGCTTTGTGTCATGGGATTCGCCGGCGCAGTCACTCTTTTTCTGAGCCTGGTAGTCTAATGTCTGCCCAATCTTGGGCCGAGAAGTGGTCAACTTTGCAGAAGTAGGCTGTGGCGGCGGAGTGCCTCATTAAATTGGAACATGGTCGGGTATCCTTTTGTCACTCGGAAGAGCTCGTTAGAATTTACTCCGCCGACTTCCTTGTCTTTCTTTCCCTCTTCTTGATTAGTATTACGCATAATTCTTAGGCGGTTGTCCATGGACGAGCCGCCTAGCTCCGCCTATTTGTCCTGAGTTTGGAACAGCTGTTATAAGTGGGTGGGAGGGTACTCTAGACGGAAATGGTTTCTTTTTTCTTCTTCTCTTTCTCAAGTAACAATCAATTACGTGGGTTGCAATTATCAACCGTCCGTTGCGTTCCACAATTGTTCTTTCGGGCGATTTTTCGTGATGCGATGTCAATCCTCGGGCTCAATTGGTCATATGGTGACCTGGAGTTGAGACTCTGTCAACAAAGGAGAGTTCCCCTGAATTGACCCCTGTCCGGAAGAAGGAATGGCGCACCTGCGTATCTTTCCGACCCCTGCGCTGATCGTCCGGGTCTAAGCACCGTGGATGGCCACAACGACGACGACGGGCCGCGGCATTCAGCCCACGCTGCCGGGGCTTGAAATCTGCAGCGATTTCCAGGCGCAAAGATGGGTGTGGGGGTAAGAAGAAGATCATGGATGCGTTGGAGAAGCGTTCAGATCTCGCAGTGCAGCGCCGTCCATCTTGGAGGCGCTCGAGCTTGCAAGATTTGCAGCCAAAACAAGGCCACTTGCAGTGACGATTACCGTTGCGATTTCATCAAAAGACGAGACAGTCAGGAGGCAAACGGCAATTCAATTCACCAGACCAGAATCCAAAAACAATGGACTGAGTTATCTTCTCCCGAGTCAGTAGTGCATACCTGAGGGCGTGCAAGCCCAGATCGATGTCTCGTATAGTTGCGCTGAGTAGAAGTCTCTGGATTAATATGCTGTAGAAAATGGAATAAATCTCGAGTTGAGCTCTCCAAAGGATGTTTCTCTGCCCTAGTTATTAAGTGCGGGTTGCTGCTCGTCAAAGCCGGTCCTGGCCGACTGTAGCCAACATAGCAAGCCAGGCCGAGTTTTTTTTCAACTTGAGCCACATCGATTAATTATCGAAGTATATTAGAGAATATAGTTCTTTGTTTAAAATGGAACTAGATGTAGAGCTTCCTTTGAAACTGAAAGTAAAAGCGAGGACAGATCTCGATGATGATATAATCAAGGTAATATAACGTGCGGTGAGGCCACGGATAATAGTTGAAGCTATCAAGCCAATATCATTATAGGCTCTTCACCTCAGCAGGCAGTTTAAAGTGGTGAGTAGTTACTGCTTTTTGTAATACAAAGCAATGTACGTTTTTGTATTACGGAAAGAGGAGGATGGGCATCAACTCCTCAGTCTGAGGGGAAATCAAGCCATGATGCTACCTCTCGTCATATTACCAGGATACCAGTCAACCACCGGGCAACATACGTCTTTCAGTTTTCTTGCTAGAGACATTCCTGAACCCCTTCAAATTGACTGGATCCCTTACTTCACCGCACTCCGTAACCCTAAATCATGTCGGAGCGTCAGGGTTTGTTTTACCAATCACCCTCGGGATTTGGATTCCGTGTAGACCTCCTTCGCTCGTCGCCTTAGTCAGCCCATGCACCACACACAGCTTCATCACCACGAGCAACATCAATCCCCAAGCACGAGGACTTGGTGGGAGAAAAAAGAAAAATCTATATAACAGGTCCTTTTTCTCACTTTCGGCTGGCATCACGAAAACCCCAGAAAGGAACAAAAGTCCCAAAATCAAACACGAAAAGACAAAGAAACCCCCCCCCCCCCCTCGCCTAACGAAGAAAATGGCACACGCACTCATCCTTGGCGCCTCGGGCATCTCAGGCTGGTCCCTCCTCAACCAGGCCCAGACCTACCCCACGCCCACGACCTTCGCCCGCATCACCGGCACCACGAACCGCCCTCTGACCCTCGAACAGGCGCGGCTGCCTGCAGATGACCCGCGCCTGGCCCTCGTGTCCGGTATCGACTTCACGAAGAGCGTGGACGAGGTAGCGGCGGCGCTGAGGGACAAGGTTCCCGACGTGGAGACTGTTTCTCACGTCTTTTACACGGGTACGTACTCAAGCAGAGAAAGTTGCATGCCATGCATGCGTTCAAGAAAGGGGTGTGTGTGTGTGTGTGTGTGTGTATGTGTGTGTTTGGGAAATGTGGATTTTGCTAACAACGTCGGGGAGGTCAATGTAGCCTACATCGACGTAGACGTCTCCAAGGGACAAGCGGCGGCGGCAGCAGCCAACACGGAATTACTCGCCGTGGCGGTCAAAGCAGTCGAAAAGGTGTCGCCGCGCCTCGCCTTCGTCGTCCTGCAGACGGGCGGAAAGGGGTACGGCCTCATGTACCCTGACAAGGTGACGCTACGCACCCCGCTCCGCGAAGACGCGCCGCGGATCCCGCGGCCGTGGACCGACGAGGTGTTTTACTACGCGCAGCACGACCTGCTGCGCGACCTGTCGCGGGGGAAAAACTGGACGTTTTCCGAGATCCGGCCGGACGTGATTGTGGGGTTCGCGCCGACGTCGAACGCGATGAATATGGCGAGGGGCATTGGGATCTATCTGTCTGTTTGGCGGCGGGTTTTTGGTACTACTACTACGGGAGCCGGGGGCCTCGGGTCCGGAAACCGAGTGGAGGTGGAGGTGCCGTTCCCGGGGTCGCTGCGGAGTTACCGCGCCACGCATACGGATACCAACCAGGACGTGCTTTCCAAGATGGAAATTTTCGCGGCGGTGGTGAATCCGGAAGGGTGCGGCGGGGGAAGAGCCTTCAACGTCGCGGACGGCGGGGCGATGATTTCATGGTCGGTGGTGTGGCCTCGGTTGTGCGAGCGCTTTGGTCTCATCGGGGTGGCGCCGCCGCCGCCGCCTCCGTCCTCCGAAGCGGCGATCGACGCCGAGGCAGGGTTGGGTACCGCGTCCGGATCTACTGCCCCGCCGCCGTCGATGAAAGACTTTATCGCGGAACACGACGACGCTTGGGTCGCGCTGGCGCGGGAACACGGGCTGGACGAGGGCGCCGCCAGGGGATACAACTGGGACTTCCTGCATGTGATGCTGGTGGAGTGCGACTTTGATCGCGAGTACGATCTCACGCGGGCGCGCGAGGTCGGGTTCCGGGAGGGGGTTGATACGGTGGAGGGGTATTTTACTGCGTGGGAGCGGATGAGGAGTGCGAAGCAGTTGCCGTCGTTTTGATGCGTGGGCGGTTGTTGTGAGGTGGACAGGACATGAGGTGAGTTCAGGGGAACTGAATCTCAAAGGCCTCGGTTGCCAGAGTGTTGAAGAATATAATATCCGTACTATTAATGATATGACAAGAATTAGGAAGTGGGGAGCGCACCGCGGACGCGCCACGGGTGACGTCGGACTCAACTATCCTGCTCCAGAACCAGAAGTAGTACAGGCCTGATACGAGGAACTCCATATCCGCACACTGCCATCGCGCCATACAATCTCGGCTGATGTGTCGAAACCTTGTGTTGCTTCTCATTGGACCCCGACAGCGGCGACGACGACGACGATGATGACGACGGTTCGAGGGTGTTGACCAATGGTCGATGGTACTGCATCTTGATGTACCGCCCATGACCTGCGTAAGGTAGTAAAAACACTCGGAGAAGGTCCTACCTCGAAACATTCTGTCTGCCAAGCTGCCCCGTTCCAAGGTGGCCTTGTGCTTCACAGACACCAACCATTGCGTTGGTTCTGAAGTGTAGGCCATGGGTGCCAGCTCGAGTTGCTTGAACGGCAAGGTTGAAGGAGCCCTCGTCATTTGGCAGGTCAACCTGAAAAATAGCAAAAGCCGGGCGAAATATCTTGTCAATCTTGCTCAAAGCAAGTACTCGGATGGACAACCCCATATCATTGCCATTCAAGATCCTCCCAAGCACCTTGCATGGATGTCCACCGGGAACTACAAATCAGTGTACCGACCAGCCTGAACTTTACGTGAGCAACATCATCCATACATGCCGTGCAAGCCAAACAGGAAGATGTACTGTCACATCTCACCCCATCTCACCCGCGGCAAGGCTGCCGGGCCAGATGGAGTTTCCTCAGACGCCCTGAAGATGCTGCACTCTTTTAACGAGGTTCCCGACGAAGCCGTCTACGGTGGAGGCGACGAAGCTCTCAGAGGCAGCGTGAACAGCATCATCCATCCATACATCAAACGTGAAGCGCAGGCCTGTCTGTTACACGCGCATCACCCTGACGCTTTCAAACCCTCGATCACGGTCATCTTTCCCAAAGCCAATAAAAATGACTACACAAGCCCCAAAGCCTACCGCCTGCTCTGCTGTCCGTCGTCGGCAAGTTGATTGAGAAGATTGTTGCAAACCGCCTCAAAAAAGACTGGCCATAAATCACAGCCACTTGACACCTTCGACGCAGTTCGGTCTGCCCGGCAAGCCCACAACCAAGGCCCTGGAGCACCTCGTCAATTTGGTACAGCAGTGTTGGTCACATACCGGCCGTGCCAAGTTGGAGGCCACATTGATGACGATCAACATTGCGGGTGCGTACGATCACGTCAGACGATTCGAAGTGCTCAAGATTCTTCGTCGGAAGGGCATTCCCGATTGAATTGTGCGATTTGTCTGGTCGTTCCTCAGCGACCGCAAGACTGTCCTCAAACTTCCCGGATACACCTCTGAAGAGTTCTGGGTTGATGTTGGCATTCCTCAGGGCAGTCCTTTGTCTCCCATTCTCTTTCTCTTCTTTTCCAGCCCCATTCTAGAGGCTCTTCAGGTCTCTTGTCCGTTCGCAAGTTTTGCGCTGGCCATGTCTTACGTTGACGACACCAACATTCTCGTCACGTCTCCTTCGGAAGCTCGAAACTGTCAAGCATTGAAGTTCCTCTACGACAACTTGGTGCGCTGGGCATCGCCCAACGGCATCTTCTTCGGGCCTCACAAGACATTCGTCATGCATTTCAGGAAATCCGGTAGTCATGGGCCGCCAAGCACCGAGCTCCCCGATATTCCCGGCCTCTCCAAGAACTGTCTGTAGACAGAGCTTCTTTTGCTCGGGGTTGTTGTGGATTCGAAACTCACATGGGCAGCACACATTGAACAAGTAAGTCACGCCTTTCAATTTTCATTTGCCTTCGTTTTCTTTTTTTCCTCCCTCGTGGCTGACCTTTTTGTCGACAGGTTATTATCAAAGTCAGGAGGAGGATGATCCATCTTCGCAGAATATCTGGATCGACTTGGGGGCCATCATTGCACGAGATGAAGAAGCTTTACGTCAGCTCGGTTCTTCCCATCTTCTCATACGCTTGCCCCGTTTGGTTCGTCGACGGTCGAGGCCAGAAGATCCGAGGCCAGTTGACAAAGACGTTGGTCCAATCTCTCGACGCGGAACAGGCGCGGTTTCTGCGATTCATTGCAGGTGGATTCGAGGCCTCTGCCTCGGAAGTTGTCCACAAGGAGCTGCACATGATTCAGCTTTCGGTCTATCTTGAACAACTTGCTCTCAGGCACCGGATCAACAACCTCTATTCACCAGAGTATCGGGACCTCGAGGCAATGTGGGACAATGTCTTTACAGACATTGCAACGGAGCAGGAGTTGGGCGCTCATCCCTACAAAGCCCTCTACGGCCAGGCGGGATCCTTTTGGCTCGAGATGCGCGAGAGGGTTCTGGATAAGCAGCTTTGCCGAGCAAACTGGAACCCCGAGCAAGCCGTGCAGTCAGAAGCCGAGGGCTGGGCCGATCCCAAGCGCCGCAAGGCCATCATCAAGGCCTACCTGAAGGACATCTCTATGGAGAGGAGCAGTCTAGCGTGGGATCGATACAGAAACGACCGAAGCGGCAAGGTCCGCAACATCAACCGCAACACTCCGGCTCTCAAGGAAAACTGGGGCCCAGAGAGTCTCAAGTACTATCAAGGGCTCACGCGTGCTCAGAGTAGCATGTTGTTCCAATGCCGCAGTGGGGTGATAGGGTTGAACGGCTATCTCTTTTCGCTTAAGGCGAACGTGAGTCATTTTATTCTTCTTCCTCTTCCTCTGCATCTTTCTCTGCCTCTTCACCGGGCCCATCTTCTTTTACGCTATGAGTCTAACTTCTCGTCTTTACTGCAGTTGGTTGAGACACACCGATGTCGCTGTGGTCATCCGATGCAGACGGCCGAACATCTCTTTGCCCATTGCAAACAGCTCACCTTCGAACGCAGTCGCTTGCGTAAGCATGTCGGCGTAATCAACTTCGATTTGCTGGTCACAACCGAGGCCAACGTAGCCACGGCGTGGGCGATTCGCCATTTCGACATCGCTCAGTTCAGGTGGACGGGCAAACACATGCCGCTTCCCTGCTGATTACGGCCCGCAGCTTCCCACCAACCGCACCCACCATTTTTCGGAGGCCACTTTCCTTTTTGTCTTCCCTTCTCTCGTCTTGTTGTGCCCTCCATTCTTTCCAGACGTCGACCACACGTCTATGCATCTCATTGCGCCGTACCTTCTTTGGTCTCGGATCTAGTGTACCCGAGACTGCTACTAATGCCTCGTCGCATCATTGTTTCCCCCGTCCTCGCCCTGGACTCTTCGCCCTGGTTTTCCCCTTTGTCTTCTGTTCCGGGTCGGTGCCACGGCATTCCTGTCCGACCTGCCAGCCTACCTCGCCTTTGTACAGTAGCACACCTTAGCCCAGACTTTCAATTCAACCCCCTTTTGCCCTCACCCCCCGACGGAGCAATCCGCCGGGGCCGTACCATGTATTACGTATTGGGGTGAGATTTTCGGTGACCTTGCAGTCCTTGCATTCCATGATCGCCTCACTGACCTGTTACGGATCTAGGAAAACTGGGTATAATGCGCTCCATACCTAACTACTAACCAAAAGTAAGTGGACTTCCCCAGCGTTGCTTTGTGCTTTCATGACGCGAGCCGTTTGACTGACTGGCGGATCGAGCCGCAGCAGCAGTCAACCGACTCGACCGTTGTCTCCCTTTCATCAAGTACGCGGCCTGCTCGTTCCTTGCGTTGCTCTACTATGCTAACAGTCGTGTTGAAGCAGCTCCCGACCTTCCGCCGCGTGAGTATGCCCGCCCTGTCCTTTCTCTCCCATACGAGGCATCAGTAGCAGGTCTGACAGAGTCCTCCAAGTTCCAGCCGTCTAGAGGGCGAGCTGCGCCCACTCCAACGCACATAAGACCTCCTGGTGCCAGCCCGCGTGGGCGGCCAGATCCCGCATCACATACTCCTTATCGTCGAGGGTCAGGGGACCCCTTATATATTCCCTCACGTCCATAATATGGCCCGTATCGGTTTCTGGCTCCGTAGAGCGTGATTTCCAAGCCGGCGTCGATATGCCGTAAGTCGCTCGATGCTCGACCAAACTACAGAAACTAACGGTATTCCCCAGGGATCTTGACGTCCGTGCCGTCCCGGCTGTCCACGGCGTTCGTACTGTCGCCCAGCCGGATTCCGCACCGCCGGAAGGCACTGCGCCACTCCTTGGGCGTGCCCACGTTGGCCACGATGGCCAGGGCGTCGAGGGGGCCCGTAAGTTCACTCCATACATCATGAGGATGTCTAGCTCCTTTAGCGGCAAGAACGCCTCTGCAGATGAGCCCTGCTGACCAGAGTTTGTCAGAAGAATCTGTCGAGCCCCAGAGGGGGGGACCTGTCGAGGGGCATCTTTGGGTGAGACTCGTCGCTTTCTTTTCCCCCCATACTCATAAATGCCACTGACACTCTTCCGAGAGAGTCCTAGCCCGCTGGTTGCTGACTGTATGCTGGGAGGTGACTGCTCTCTTTCATTCTGTGTTTGGATAAGCAAAGCTAACCATAATTCAGCAGAGTAGGTTCTCAACGAGGTGGTATTTCAACTGGTCAATCTCTTGACTGGTTGTCTGACTAGTTGTCCAGGTGGTGGTTTGTGTATTGGTGGGTTCGTTTGATGGGTTTGTTTGGTGGATTTGTTTGGTTTGAATGGAGATTGGTCACAAGTGCTTCCACTCCATCCCTGTGGCAGACGCTAACCACCCTCAGAGCAGCTTTGGGTGATGTTGGAAGTGATGAGGGTGGAAAGAATCTTTGCGAGCTCTGGTACGGCAAGTACGATGGAAGTTTCATGATGCACCAAACAACGACTGACATGAGAGGAAGAAGAGCAGCCAGATATTGGCCCTTTTGGCCCTTTCTCCGGAAACCTCTACGTCGCCATCAAAGTTCAGAACCTCTGCGGTTGAGGGTGAGTAACTTCCCTACTACGGATGCATTGCACAATGGCAGCCATTTTGAGATGAACTTTTGCTAATACCCATCATGCCAGAAGGCCGCCTCCGACCTTTGCGGCCGACCTCTGCCGTCGACCTTTCCGGCCGGCGCCGCCGCGTGAGTATGTCGCTCAGCCTGTCGTCAGCAAGCAGCGTACCCCTCCCTTATCTTCTTAAGAACAGAGACATGGAGCTAACACGAGTTTGGGCGAAGAGGGCAGCTTGCCCATCCCGAATTGCATGGCGGTTTTCGTATCGAAATCACTATATTGCGTTGAGCGCGTGCTTGGGGCACATTGCGCGTATTGTGTAGTTAAAAAGTGTACCGTATCGTGTGATTTCCCTTGAAAGCGTGATCCCGTTAAGGTCGATCTTTTGCGCCTGTAAAGCCGGAAAAAAACCACCACGTAAAAAACAATTGTCCCTTAATATTTTCCCTCCGTTGCCGTGATCTATCGCTCGTCGTCTCAATTGTCAAGTCAGGTGTATGCTTTGGCATTAATCCTTCAGGCTGTCCAGCGTCAGGCGACTGACTGGTAAGGTACCTAGGTTCCTTGTGTTACCCACCTCTAAGAGGTGTACTCCTTATTCAGAGGCTCGGATTCTATGGCCCAGGCCACCAAGGTGCCTGAGGGGCGGTTAAATTTGGCTGTTTGGCGAGGAACTCCCCAAGTGTCGTGGTTACCTGCAGTGAGTAGGAATACGTACCGCGGCACCGCGGTCTCGTCCATGGCTCAGCCAAGCCTTACCGTAGGCCCACAGCGAAGTAATCTCTTGTCAGTGGAAGCTGGGCAGGCAGCCTGAGATACCTACCGGAAGTAACTGGTGTTTTCGGGCTATCTTGCCTTGAGGTAGGTAGGTACGGAGTGCAGTAGGTAACGTACCTTGTACCTCAAGGTAGGTAGGCTCAAGTCAGTAAATAGTGGGCTACATACATCGCCGCGCGACCCACTGCCGCCAGTGAATGTACATTTGCCCGCACAAAGTAGTGGCAGAAGGCGCGTAGGTACATGCATGACCCGGCGAAGGTTGCCTCAGGTTACTAAGGTACATAGGTACTTTCCATAATATACCTGCCTATTTTCTGCACCTTAGGTACCTTAGGTACCTTACTTTCCATGGCACTTTCCTACACATGCATGCCAACTCCTCGAAAGTCCTCATTTAGGTGCTCAGAAATGTATCTTTTTGTGACTAAGCTCTGAAAAGATATCGTGCGGGCAAATGGTGCGTTCTGTCAGGCGTAGGGTGGAAAACATCATAGTTAGGCAGATGCGCCACGTGACTGCCTTCTGCGGGTGCACTTGGTCCGTAAGATAGGGGACCACAAGGTACCTACCTGCCTGGCTGCCTTTCTCCGCTGTGCCATCCCCACCTGCGAACCTTGACCACCCCGGGCCACCCAGCACGCTTAAATACCTTCCACCTCTCCCCGTCGTGCCTGTCGCCGCCCAACACCATGTTCAACAACCGCTAGCATCTCATCCCTGCGCAAACCCCCACGATACAAAACATCCGCCTGGCATCTTCTTCAATCGTCACACAGACCCGACTCCTACGTAATCGGGAGGAAGGAGCTCGCAATGGCTACATTTTTTCACCTCCCTCGAGAGTTGCGGCACATCATTTACCAGCTCTACGTCATGTCCGACGGAGGCTATGTCCTCAATCCCGAAACCAACAAACTCAGAGATGCCCTGGGCAGACCAATCGACCTGGCTTTCGCGTACACATGCAAGCGCGCTGCCGACGAAATGAGGGGCCTTGCACTGGAAGCGAACACCATTACCGTTTCAACCTTTTACTCGCCAGACGAACGCCACAGAGCTAGAGACTTTGATCTCGTCACCATGATGCTAAATGAAGAACTGGAAAATGCACTTCACTGTTCACAGCATCTTCTCTGGGATGATACATATGATGACATATCGGGGGCGTTCCCAGAGTTCACGCCCGTTCTCGACATGATCAGACATGATTCGTGGGGCATATCAACCAGGCAAGGCCCATGGGGTGAACCTCACTCCGTTTATCGAGATTTCGTACGCTTCGCTTTGCGAGCCATTCTAAGCACTAATGACAGGCATCGGCTCAATGACGACTTCACGGAACTCTCATACAACATAAATGACACCCAACACCTTCTCGATATGGAGCCGAACCCTTGGACCATTCCAAGGCAACATGATCTCCGACAGATAATGGATGCGCTCGGCGGGAAACATTCAATAAGAAAGTTTGGTCTCGAAAGATTCTGGATGGGCCCTGAATGCGCCAGACGTGCCATGTTTCGCTATTCCGCAGCCGCTGTTGCCATTCGGTTCCTGGAATCCAATACGCCTGCGACCCGAGCGCACATGAGGGACATCGTGCTGATTGAAGATCAGGAGTCTGTTTCAAATCCCGAGTGTCACGCAATGGGGTTGATACCTTATTGTCAAGAGAATCCCGAGTTGCGGATAGAGCGACGTGTCAGCCTGTGGCGGAACGCTTTTTTTCATCTGCCGGGGGAAGCACTTGGTGAGCGGACACACCAAGACTACAATCTCGGTCTAGACGCTAATAAGATCTCTTACGCCGTCGCCCGCTGGGTTATTGAGGTATTGCCACTCGTCCCCGCCGGTATGCCCGCCAAATCATTTACGTTGGTCTTGGATGGAGAGGGTGAGCCGCAGTGTTCGGAAATTTTCCAGACTGTCGTTCTGCGCGATGCTGCGTGGCAGCAGGCGATGGAAGAATGTTTCCAAAGCGGCGCCCTTCCGTCAGAGCCGTATGGGATGAGGAGAAATACCCAGAGGACTCCGTTACTCGGCTTCTTCCCCGCCTATAACAACTGTTATCTGTTTGACAAGTTCCCGCAGGTAATGCAAGAAATCGTCGACGGGACGTCCATAGTTCGTTGCAACTTTGGCACTGGGGACTTTGTGGACACGGAGCCATTCAAGTTGGTCGCGAAGAAGGGGTTATGGAGCGTAGATCACTGGAGATTCCACTGGTACGAACGTCAGAAGAAGACCTATCAGCCTTCTCCTCCGTTGCCGTCGTGGAGCGACATCAAATCTGGCTATCTCTCTGATCGCCATGTTGCATTCACGCCCTCTCTGACTGAAATGATGTCAAGCTCTTCCGCCCCTCAGGGCCTGCGGTGGTAGTAGTATAGAGACTACTATCGCGCGGAGCAGCCACGGAGTTCAAACATGTCACACTAGACAGGACTAGCATATGTCTTCAGTCGACACAACGAGATAAGAAAAAGAGAGGTAAGAGAATAAGAAGAAGAAAAAAAAGGGGGTTGGGGGGGGGGGGGTTAGATTAGCCTTAGTATCCGAGGAGGTTTCGTTCGCTGGCGGTAATTACTGATCATCACACCCAAACAAAGTTGAGAAAGTCATCTGTCAAAAGCTTCACGACCTCCTCCAGAGACATGACCTGCGCGTTCCCAAAGCCCGCACCTTCGGAACTTCAGCCAGATCGCCACTGAGGTGGTAGCGAACGACGAAGGAGAGAGGAGGGCATTTTTGTCCAATCTTCTGGAGGTCATAGTCCGGAAGATAAGGGTCGAGAAGGAGGAAGGAGAAGGCAGGATCGGAACATGTTAAAATGATAAGAACATGATGGAGAATTGACAACTAGGCAACATGCAGCTTGTGGGCGATGGAAGTTTGGGCCATGCAATGCGCAAAAAGCCCTCTTTGGAGATATTCTAGTACCAAAAACTGGCCTTTTTTCTTTTCTTTTTTAATTGACCAAATGATTTCACTGCCGTTCCGGTGTCTCTTTTCTTCTTCTCCATAAACTCCCTCCTGAAGTCTTTTTTCCTATCGCAAGTCCCCCCCCCCCCACCAAGAAAAAAACAAAAAAGCCGTCGTCGCGGCCGGGTATCATCGATCCCGCTCTTCAATCAAACCCTCTCTCCTCCTCCCTCGCTTCCCCTGATCCCCTGCATTCACCGCCCACGCTTCATACCAGCCTGACTCAGCAAGTCCACGTTCCGCGGCAAGTCGAAATCGCCCCTCGCCTCGAACCAGAAGAGCATCTCCGGCTCCGGGCCCGTCGGCTTTGTCGGTTTCTTCTTCTTCTGCGACTGCCCAGACATGACCACGTCCCCATCTCCACCACCGCCGCCGCCCTCCTCATCGCTCTCCTCCTCCTCGTCCTCATCATCGTCATCCTCGTCATCCTCCTCGAGCCCCCTCCTCAGCCCAGTCCTCACATTCTCCACCCCCATCCGCCGCTCGTCCTCGGTGTACACGTCCCCCGCCTCCTCGAGGACGTACTTTTGCACCCGCTCGACGGTCCACGCGCGCACGTCGCGCCACACCGCCTCGAGCTGGGCCTCGCCGCCGCCGTTGCCAGCACCAACAGGTCCGCCAGCAATACCAGGCCCTCCACCAATGCCAACACTGCTGCCGTCCGACAAGGAAGGAGGAGGAGCGGCGTTCGCGCCGCCGCGCAGCTCCCGCGTCGTCTCCCGCCCGCGCTCGACCCACTCCTCGACGCCCGGCTCGAGCTTCTTGCGGAGCAGCTGCAGCAGGATGTTCTCGTGCACGCGGCCCGGGTAGGCGACGTCCGGGAAGACGTGGAGGTGCTGGAAGACGTGGGTGTTTTCTGTCAGGGTCTCGAGGAGGGATTGGAGGTTGCGGAGGAGGATTTGGGATTGTGCTTGGAGGGACGCTCTGTTTTTGTCGTGGCGCAAAATGTTAGCACGTCTAGAAATCTTTTTTTCCTTCTTTCTTGAATCGTGTGTCTTGATGGATGTGGAGCTACGAGGAAGGAGGGGGGGGGGGGGAAAGCTTACGGGGGAGGAAGCGGGTTGCTCTTCAAGACGTCCATCCGCAGACCCTGGATGCTGTTGGAGAGTTGGAACAGACGCTGGCGCGTCTGCTCAATTGCCTTGAATTCATCGGCCGTGATGCCGAGCGCGTTCGGCTTGTCCATTGCCCGTGGTCTTTTTTTTTTTTTTTTCGTGCGTTGTTTCGTCTTCGTGCGGCTCGTCGCAGATCGGAGAAAAGTAGAGGTTCTTTGGGGATCGTAGCGGGTGATGGAAGTCGCACGGCTCACGCGACTCGACGCGCCGGGGATTGTTGAGTGCCTAGCGAGTCGCAGAAGGGGAAAAGGTGTTGGATGAGTTGTGTCGTGAGGAGATGCGACTGCGCAATTGAATCTTCGACGTCGTCGGGAGTAGAGAGCGTGGGTGTGGTTTTGTTGAGAGTTTACCGGAAATTGAGCTCCCTCTATCCAGGTTGTGGAGGGGAGAAAAGGTACGAGTGACGTTCCAATCCACTCGGCCCGGGGGTAATTTAAATGGGTCCAGGAGCTCCGCGTCGAACGGGGGTGTGGGCAGCGATCGCGGCGTCAGCACGTACCTCGCGTACCCCGCTGGCCCGGCGCAAACCCCAGCTGAAAAAGCGATGCAGGGCCGGGAGCAGGGGCCACGCGGGATGGGATTCCTCTCGGTTTTCCCAAGTTAGCAAGGTAGAAGGTAGGTATGTAAGCATACAAGGGAGACCAGACGACCCCTCACCCTCAGACTCGTTCGAGGCTCTTCCCGGTCACGGGGAAACGACCACACTCAATTGGCTTCGGGTTTGCATGCTTGACATAAGATATTCAAATACAGCTAGCGACGTGGCAAAGCACTCACCTTGTTAGAAAAGCCAAGGCGGTCCCATTAAATGAGCACGGCGTAATGGGAGTAGCACGCCAAGTGGAGGCATTCGGGATTTCGTGACGACGAGCGAGCTGCTTAAAATGGTCTATGAGTAATCCTCAGAGGTTGAGTGCCACGTTTCATTGAGACAGGTCCTTCAATGCAACTGATAACTTGCTTATGTGCTAATTCTTGAGCATTCATGTCCTAGGCCCCATTGAAAGCTAATATACAAAGGGCGCCTGGTCTGTCCTGAAGATCATGACCATGCGCCTGATCGCCTTGCGGATATCTGCGAGAAAGAATAGAAAAAATATCGCGTGCTGTAAATCAAATGATATGTCCCAACGCCCCTGTGACATGCATTTTGGTGTCGTTATCATCATAAATATGCAAAAGATTTACTGGCCGTGAGATCCAGCTTGGTCGTGAAGAACCCTGTGACCGGTTGTGGCGCGGTCAACCTCCCGACCGTACTTGTCCACGGGCGGGTATCGAGCGCGACGCTCGAGGTCGTCCAGAGGAATCTGCGAGCGGATGTACCTGACAGATGTTAGTATTGAGTCTGGCGGTTCATTATGCCAGGATCACAACTTACTTCATTCTACCGTCATCGACGGGGTCGTAGTCCCAGCTAGTGAACTGGCCCTGGGTAAGAGCGCCCCATACAAGGCGACGCTTGCGCTGAGACTGCAAGACCTGCTCGGTGATGGCATCAAAGTCCCACTTGGCCTTTGTCTCGGCGTTGTACTCGTCAAGCTTTGCCTTGGCTTCCTCGTCCAGCAGCTTGCTGGTAATAGCCTTGGATGACGCCAGGTTGACCAGCTCGAGCGGATCGTGCTTGAGGTTGAACAACTGGGTGCCGTCTGCAGGGCAGTGGATGTACTTCCAAGGGCCCTCTCGGATCATCATGAGCGGACTGACAGTGCCCTCGCCGGTGTACTCGGCGTAGACCTTGTCGTGGCCAGTCTTGCCCTGAAGATGGGGCAGCAATGAAACACCATCCATGGGTAGACCAGGAGCAGGCTTCGTGCCGACCAAATCGCACAGCGTCGGGAGAATGTCGAGGGTAGAAACGTTTTTGTCCACACGATGGGGCTCAAAGTCCTTGGGGTGGCGGACAAACAGCGGCACTCTGACGGAAGACTCAAAGTAGCTCATCTTATACCACAGTCCACGCTCGCCGAGCATGTCGCCATGGTCGCCGCTGAAGACGATGATGGTATTGTCGTCCAGACCGCACTTCTTGAGAACGGACAAGAGTCTTCCGACACAGTCATCAACGTAGCTGACAGCGCCGTAGTATGCACGGCGAGCCCGCTTAATCTGGTCGTCGGTGAAATCATAGTCCCAAAGATCGCAGACCTTCATGAGACGCTTGCTGTGGGGATCCTGTTCTTCTTTGGGAATGCGAACCTTGGGAAGAGCAATGTCGACGTCCTCATAGAGATCCCAGTACTTGTCCTCAATCGTGTAGGGGTCATGAGGGTGAGTCAAAGACACGGTGAGAGCGAAAGGGCGCTTCTCGGGACCCTCACGGACGTGGTCGTAGAGGAACTGAGTGGAGCGGAACATGACCTCCTCGTCGTAATCCAGCTGGTTGCTCCGCACGCAAGTGCCGGCTTGGAGGATGGAGCTGGAGTTGTGGTACCACTCAAGACGGGTGTCTGGCTCGTCCCAGTTGACGACCCAGCCAAAGTCACCGGGGTAGATGTCGCTAGTCAAGCGAGTCTCATAGCCGTGAAGCTGATCCCCGATGAAATGCATTTTGCCTGCCAGCGCAGTCTGGTAGCCCTTCAGACGCAGGTAGTGTGCGTAGGTGGGAATCTCACTGGAGATCTGGCTGGCGTTGTCGTAAGCACCAATCTTCATGGGCAAAAGACCGGTGATCAAACTCATGCGCGATGGTGCGCACAACGGGGAGGGGCAGTAGGCAGAGTCGAACTGAACAGACTCAGCGGCAAGAGCATCCAGGTTTGGTGTCTTGATCTGTGACTCGGGGTTGTACATCTTGAGCTGGGGTGCGGCCAATTGATCGGCCATGATGAAGAGGATATTGGGTTGCTTCGCGCTCGGTGCGCCATTGCCGTTGCCGTGGGCAGACTTGCCATTGGCGGGTTGCGCCAGAGGCGAAGAGGGAAGTGAGTTGAGATCGGGAGCCATTGTGCTTGTAGCCAATGGTCTCGAGTATGGTTTGTTTATTGAAACTTGAGCAAGTTCGATGGAGAGGGTGGTTGTGGTGTTATCCTTGGTTGCGTGGGAGGAAAATGTTTGTGACTTGTGAGAGGGCTGATAAAGAGCCGATGTGAATATGTGTGCTCGTGCGTCAAGTGCGATGGTGAGCAGTGATTGAAAAGTTTATAAGTGACCAAGGACAAGGGATGGTCAGTGATTAGGAGGAAAGCGCAGTGGATTGAGTCTTCCGGATGATCTAGAAAAGAGAGAAGGAAGTTAATCACAATTCATGTGGGAGGAAGCGTCCTTTAAGAAAGTGAGCCAAGA